CATAAAATTTCTAAAAGACCTATTCTCTAGAGATTATCATTCTTTGGTTAGATAAATCAATGATGTCGTGACAGTCACTGAAAGTTGACAAGTGCGGTGAGGTTTTTTTTACTATTGTCGCTCAATAGATAGTTTTTGTGTAAAATACAACAGTTTTGCGTTTTTGTATGCTGTAGGATTTACTTAGTCTTTGAGAAGTCTTCTATGATTCCAGCTAAATTAAAATAATTCAAGCTCCCTGTGAAAATATCACCTGATGCTACCTCCATCCAAGTCAATCGGCTTGATTTTATAGATACATTGACTTCGTTTCCTGACTGACCAGTAGAACAGTAAGTAGTAGTAGTAATTTCAAGCATAACTTACATATTATTCTGGAGAATCATTTGAATTGTTTTTCGTTGTGTATGGTGGCGAGTGTTATTTTAGCCAAGTAGTGTTTTGAATAATTTGTGATACTTTCTCGTGTTCCTTATTTCATGTTAGCTTCACATGCTTATGTTTATTTGATTACTGTTTTTTTGGAAGTGAATAATGAGTAAATGCATCTATCTTCATATTAACAGTTGTGAAATTTCTTTATAGTACTTGAGAGTTAAACTTGGTTAGAAGATGTTTTGAAGGTGATTTAACGCTGCTAGTCAGTAGTATTTTATTTGGTTACCAGTCTGTTTGAAACATCTGTACCCTTAGTTATTGGGAATCAATAGGTGGTAAGCGTCCAGGTTTCATATACACAGTTAGACTGCCAGTGTGACTGTAGTACTTATGCAACATAAATGAAGTAAGATGTAAGGAGTTTTGACTAAGTGAGGTTTGCCTCAAAAGATCTTAAATTTTTGATTCTTGTTTGTAGAACAGATGAAATTAGTGGCTGAAGAATTTAAGTGGGAATGAGAATCTCCTCTTCATACTGTGCATTCATAAAATGTTTCATTCAGTTAGTGTATATACATTTAATTACTCAACTTATTTCACGAAGGGGAGTCAAAACAGTTTTGTTTTATAAATACAAACAGCTTTTTATTACTCTCACCTTAAAAGTAGCTATTCACTAATTTATTTGAAACACGAACATTCATTTCGAACATTAGAGGAGTATATATTTTTATTACCATTTTCAATATAATATTTATCCATTAAGTGTTAGGCTGATGAATCCAGCTCACTATCACAATGGCAAATTTACGATGTCTCAGTTTCATAGAAATCAACGTTTAAATATGTACTAAAAAGCTTTTAATTTCACCTGAGCTGATATATATATATATATATATATTGGTAGAAGTTAGAATTCATGGGCCGCTGAATCGGGTCCCAGTGGCTGAATAGTATGCGAGTTAGCCTTGTAACCGGAAGGCCCTGGTTCGAACTTCACTGGGTGCGTACTGCCGATGATTCCCATACTAGGATGAAACAGCTGTCCAGTACTTCCTGGTTTTCAATAGTTTTCTGACTGATATCAGTCCGTAGTCAGACTCGTAAAAACAAATCTAATCCTTACAAACTAACTCTTGAAAATATTTAAATAGGTCAAGTAGTCCATGGTAGGCGAAGGTTGAAGTCTATTGATTTTTGTACACCTAGTTTAGGATGTATGTGATTAATCCAAAGTGCTTCCATCACCTTTAATAAACAAGTTGGAATTAGAGTTATGTGATGAAATAATTGTGAAGCAGTCATTAATATTGATTTTGTGATCTGACATTAATAAGCGCTTTGTAGTTTTCTATTCAGATTAATTGCATTGGGAATTTCTCTGTGTTTTAATAACCATTTTGGAACACGTTCTTTTCGACGACATTGGAACATTCCATTGATTCTACCTATATAAGTGTCGCCGCGACTGCAGGTGAACTTGTAGATGCAGTTAGAAGTAGATTCCACGGAATTGCTCCCTTAAATCGTAGGTACAGTGATCGAAAATGTTCTAGATGTGAGGGAAAGAGACGCGGCGTAGAATGAGCGCTTGATGGATGACTGAAGTCTTTGAGCTGTCAACTGCATAATTCGATCACCTTTGAATGGTAGGTTAATGAAGATAGCTTTCTTTGGTACAGAAGCTGTGTTTTCAAGATGTGGTCTATCCTTACCGTAAAAATTGATAAATTTTTCCGGATAACCACTAGCCGATAAGACTAAATGTATATTTGAAAACTCATCCATCAATGCATCACTCGTACGTATTTTGCGGGCACTTGAAAACAAACATTTCACTAGGGAACTTTTATACTAGATAGGAACAAAACTGGTGAAATGAAGAAATTATCCACTCCATGTCTGTTTACGCTTAATCATTTTATCGTCTCTTCTGGTCATTGAAATATCCACGAAGCCGAGCTTGTTATTCGATTCGAGTTTGGAATTCACTCGGATATTTGGGTATGATTAAACAGAACAATAAGGTTTACAACAGACTTACTATTATTACCAATAATGAGTGTATCATCCACATAACGTGTACATAACAAATTCTCCAAGCATGCCTTGCATTCGGTTCTCCGATTTCGACATGAATATATCTGCTAACAGAGGTCCAAGAGGGGATCCCGTCACAACACCGATTTCTTTGTATGCCTTTTCTTGAAAGGTGAATCTGATATTTTCTGTACATATTAAGATGATGTCTGTGATGTAAGTGACAGGGATAGGTACGTTTATCCCATTTCTTGTGATGTGATCGTCAATGAAATCAACAGTTTCATGAAGGGGAACATTAGTGAATAAAGATTCTATGTCGATTGAGCCCATAACCCTTTCCTTAATGTTCAAGGTGTCTAGCATATCGATCTGATCAAATCACCTTTTTGCACGAAGATTTAAAAATGGGTGTCTTACAGGCGTGAGGACCTCTGTAATCCATTTTACGATTTTGATGATATGGAGAATTCGACATATCTAAGATGGGTGTCAATGGGTTCCCAGTTATGTGGATCTTTGGAAGGTATACAGCCAGGTAGTATGTGATACAATAGCTTTAAGTTGTTTATAAAGTTTTCCGTTTATAAAACCATGCATCAATAAAATCTGAAGCTGACGATTTGTCTGCTTTTTCACAAGTAGCACATTATTATCACTATTATCCACCAGAAATTTGGAATGATCTTTGAGGATTTCATTCGTTTTATTTTGATAGTTCAATTTATTCGCGATAACAACGCTATCTCTTTTATCAGGTTTAAGGATAATAGGATTATCTTTTTCGATTAATTCCTTAAGTGCGGCGTGGTGTTCTTCTGATAAACCACTTTTCTGGTGTATTCTGGCATTTGGAAATTGGTGAGAAATGCCCACCGGCTTAGCTTTAAACCATTTCTGGTTACCTTTAAAAAGGGAGATAAATCAGAGATTTGTTCATAGAGGTTTCATACTGTGGTTAGACTTCCATTTCGTTTATTTTTATAGGGATAGTTTTGTATTTCAAATCGTAAGATAATGCTTCCAACTGTAATGGGGATAGAGCGCAAGTAGATAGTTTAATAATTATGTGCAAATCTTTAGGAAATTCCCAAATATGATTCGTGTCTTTCAAAGATTTTGTTAATTTTTGTTCCATGGAACTTTTTTACCATAAGATTGAATTTGATTTGACATTTTAAAGATAAATTATCCATAAAGGGAATTAGTCTTTGGTGTGTTTCAATAAATTTCGAAAGTTTGTCATTAATTTCATCACTTTCTAATTCACCAATATGCTAGAGGTTAGAGAGTGAAGATTTCAAATTATTCCAACGTAGTGATTTGTAGAACGATATAGGATAATGTTTATTTTTTGTACAGCTGTAATAAAATCTTAATCGTTCACGCTGACTGATAATTTTACATGTCAGATTTAGAAGACCATTCAGAAGTCTTGTAGTATCTTTAGGGAGCCTTCGTTTGAGGAAATTAAAACAACTAGTCCCTTTGATAAATTTGAATAAGGCATTTAGAAGACAAATTTCTCAAGGTGAAATCATTTCGTAGTTTCTTTACAACCGTTTTACAACTTACATGTTTCACAATAATAAAATAAAAGGCATGACAATTACTTAGTTACATAAAAGAAAAATATATGTTTTAATTGAATTTTTCTTTTCCCCGTCGATTGATTGGACCGAAGTGCTCGGTCTCAGGTTGACATGTCGGCTTCTTGTGCAGATGCTTCGACGATGTCTGGGCGTTTGAAACTATGGGCACTGGGTTCGAGCCTCGGTGGGAACATCATCAATCACTGAGAAATTCAAGTACATCCAGATGATGAGTCCCACATTAGACGAAATGCGCATCCTGGATTCCACTGCTAGTCACCATCCACCAATTAAAATATATATGTGTTTAGAAATTTAAGTGATTATCTGAAGAAAGCAGTAAAGAACAAACACTTAGACAAATTAATTCCATACTTGTACCAAAAATACAGTGTGGAATCAAGCTGTAAATCAAAAAAAAAAAAAATTAACCAGCACCATTCTTCGTGGCTTAAAAAAGTCAGACCAGACCGATGAGAAAGTCAGTTTTGTCTCAGTTCATGAATAGCAGTCAGCAAGTGAATAGAAGGAGAGAATATTGATTCTGAGGAAGTTTCCATCATTAGTGAGAATCAGCTGAAATTCGTTATTGTTCGGATGACTGTTTCTTTTCAGTATGACTTTAATTATTAGAGCTTGCCTCGGTGACAGTAAAGAGTGAAAAGTGAGTATCCATATGCGAACTCAGCTATTCTGCGATAGATCGAAAATCGGCTAAATGGGACATTTTCATTAATTGAAATAATAAGAAACTCAGAGTTGTCTTTTGTGAATAGAGTATCTCTAAAATTAATTATAAATTTCATTTGATCTGGCGACTGTTTCACCGAACCTGATAATTTTATTTGCTTAATTTTTTTGTTATTTTCGCCTTTCAGAATCATTGAGTGATTAATCACAGTCATTCAGGCGGAAAACTGATTCTCATTTAAATAACCCTGTTTATATTCACTCACTCACACACACACACACACACCAACACACACCATTATGATACTTTACACTACATCAATCATTTTTATTCAATTATCATGTCTCTACTCACAAACATATGAATCCACTCAGTTGACAATAGGTGAGTTATCGTTTTCGTTTGTTTATTATCTTGTAAACAACTTTGTTTCCCTTTTTCGATAACTGACTACTATTCGTTTAGTCACAGTCACAGTATGCCCATATCTACCATGTATATGGAATAGTCGTTTTCTTGTAAATTTTTTTGTAATGAGTAGCAATCAGTAGAATGAATACTTTTGAGGTCAACTAAGAGGTATATGAAAGAGATAGGGCTTATAATTATTGTAAGGAAATTGAAGGGCAGATAAACATACAAATAAGCAGAAATAACAATATTCTCAGTATGGAATGAATTATTTGCATATTTCCTATTTTCTCCACTGGTGCCCACAGTTTAAAATAGGTACGGAATGCGACATATATGTGTCGTGTTAAGACAAGGAGATAGTGTATAATTTTAGACATTTTATGTGAACTGAAATAAAAGGCAATAAGTCAGTCGTATTTCGTCGGCCTGAAATATGTTCGGCAAAAACGGATTAGTCTGTATAACAAGTTCGTGCATCCTGCGCAATAGACGAGAAGGAAATTAAGAATTTTAAACTGTTTGAAATAACGTTTTACGTCAGAATATAATAAATGTAAATATAATCCAATTATTAACAGGAATATTTAAGAATCACTTCTCCAGTTGAAATAGTTGGTGATTTTCAGTGTTCTGTTCACTTGATCTCGGCACGTAGTATTCATGTACAAATGCGTACAAGCAAAGGCTGAGACAGAGCAGAGTCGGTATGGATATCTGTTTAGCCTTGGATTCTCTTATGAGAGATGAACATCTGACCACCTTCTAAGACTTTGACATTTTTCACTGTACTGTATGTTCCAGCAGTCATGTTAGGGATGTGACATGATCTCCCTATTCCTGCAAATCCTGAGAGCTTTTTGAAATTATTTTCAGTGAGGAACAACGGTTTCTATTCGAAAGTTTACTCTGCGTCACAATACCAATAATGTGTTGCGGTTTAAATACGCAAATAAGACTTTTTTGTGCTTTTTTTTATCTCACTGGTGAATACACTAGAGAACTATTAAAAAAATACTTATAAGTGTAGGATATTATTCCAGAAAGATATCGACCATTCCCAGACAGATTTATGATTCAGTGGCAGTAATTCCTTTCAAAACCTAAATCATGACGTTATCGTTGCGTTAAATTTATTTATTTTGGTTCATTTTAAATACACTGTCTTTCCACAATGTAATTAAATGTGTTCTTTACAAACTATTTCAAACTTGAGCTGTCGAGATTTTGCGGGTGAATTGTTACAGAAGCCTAGTGATAGGGGACCTAGTAGTGTAAACGTACTCATTCTTTTTCATTTGCACATTTCAGAAACAGCTAGCCTTCTGTAATAGTCTCTCATTTAATACTTATATAGTTTATTTTAATGTCATTTGATTTCTGGTAGTCGTCTCTACATATACTGCTGATAGTGTGTGATGATTCAAAATGGTGGATTTTTGTTAAAACTTCATCAGTAATCTATCCGACTGTTTACATTTAGTTAAGTAGTGCCTGTTACTTTCATACAGATATAAAATACTTTGGTTTCAAATTGAACTGAAACACTTTTAAGCATTTGGTGAACAAGGGAAGTTTTTAAAACCTGGTAAGGCTGCAAGCTAAATGACATATATGAACTAATAACCTTAACGACTTATTATATTTGAAAGAACATGATATACATTCATTCACTTTACATTCACATATTTATTGGTATTTCAGTGCTCTTAGATATGCAAAAATATGATTTCCAAAGCGACGTAAAACAAACAGCAGTCATGGTATAAAAATAGATTGTATTCTGTTATTATACTTGTTAGACCGACCTGTCCATAAATACCTGTAGGATCTAAAAAAACTTGTTATTTAGATAGTAAGTCGATTTGTTTTTTGTCTAGTATTACTAGATTTAAGTGACAGAACAATATGACTTAGTCTAAAACCACATGTTTGCGTACACAGATTACCTCTAGGCTTAGTTTATTTTATGAATAGTTATTCAGCAGATATTTTTTTAAACAATAATAAATGTAATATTTATTTCGTCAATATCATGCTTCTTCTTCTTTAATGTAAATTCTTAGACGACACTGTAAGTGTATGTTTGTATGTACGATTCATATCGCAAAATAGGACCATATCCAAATTTCTGTGATCATCCTACAATAAGAGTCGTCTGTGAAACTGAGACGGAGTTAAGTATTTTGCTCAGTGATTATTTATTATTTCGAATAGTCCTGATTATCAGAACTTATTTATACAGAAATATAGAATGAAGAAGGTATACACACTGACTTGTAGCAGAATTCATATCCAGTCTTTTCGAATAACTAATTGAATTTTCTGTCTGCTGAACAAAATACCTAGCCGACACCCGGTTATACATACATAAGTCTTGAAAGTTATACTTATTTTGTTAGTAGAATCCTATTTATTTTTCCTTCATATCATTTCTTCCAAGGCGCTTTGATTGAAAAAGATGACGTCGCTCAAGAGATTTGCTTCAAGAAGAGCATACAAGCAGCTAATAAACTTCTTCAGCAACATGATTCATCAAACAATAGATTCCAGCTTATACCAATTATAGAGACAATTGATGGAGATGACAGCTTTGAGGCAACTCGTAAAGGTAAGTAAAACATTTTTCTTATCTTATGTGTGAATTATGACAGTGAGCCTAATTTTAAGCGTTGACGATTTGTAGGCTAGAGCAGAATCTGTCTTTTGCACAAAGGTTTAACAAGAATGTACCGCGTTAAAGTAATGATCTTTGGTGAACGTAAAAATGTCAATTATAATATTCTTCATATTTAATATTACCATGTAGTTTAAATTACAATTTAAAACAGATTATTATCAAGATAATATGAATATGAGTATGAGAACTAAGATTGAAGAGCTGTTCACAGCGTCATAAAAGCATGCGTTTTTAGGTGCTTGACATGTAATATAAATAATTTAAAGTTAATATAACACCATGAATATTGTACAAAGTGACTGAAGGTTATTCTCCTCATGGGCTTTAATATATACATGTTCAATTTTAAATTTAATGTCAAGCAATAATATAAAATTTTCTAAAAGTACACGTTAAATTTTAGATATTTGAGGCTATTTCGTTTTAGCTTTCGAACCCTCTTGCATAGGAGAATGAAAGCATCTTTGAATTTCAATAGCCATTTGAGAACAAACTGAGTTATATTAAGATTAGATTCTAAACTCTAGAAAAGAAGTGTACATTTTGGTTTTTCTTCTGCCAAATTAACGAGATATTCAGTACCCAACTATGATATCCCTCTATATTTTCAAGGCATATCTACATCTTTGGATGTCATACATACCTTCTAGTTTGATGTTGTTTACTATTTCTTACTGTCTTCAGTTAATAAAGTAAAAAGGAGTATATATATATATATTCCTTTACGTTTCCAGAGGAACATAGAGCTTCAAGCTAGAGGCTTGAAGTTTCTGTAGCGGTGGTGATTATTGTTAAAGGATTCGGTTCCTAGCCTCATGCCCAACCTTCCCTCTTTACCAGTCTTACTACTGGCTTAGTGAGGTAAAGGAGTGCATCGGCCGGGATTGAACCCCGAACCACCTGCTTGGTTGGCGAGCACTCTACCGCTGTGCCACCGACGCAGTATATACATATAAATACATATATCTGGTTAATGACTGCTATTGCAAACTTCACCGGATAAAGGACCCTTCCGGGGTAATAAGACACTAAAATTTACTCTATTTAATGCTATGCAGTTAGTTTAGACTTTAGGATTAAACTGCTGAAGCACAGAAAACCAGTGAAATCTGGATTGGTGGACTCTACTAGGATAAAGTTAAGCAAAGCATCACACGCAGTCAAACAGAATCGTACAATGGGACGATGGAACGAAGTGACAATCCTAAGACGTGATGTGGCAGGGTGGAAGGTCAGACTGGTGTGAAAAGCTTGGTCTATCGTATCGACAGAGAATGTGTGCAAAAGAAGTTATTCAACATCTGTCCTACAAATCTGATTAATTCGGCTTCTCCTAAAATAAAGGAACTACGTCTTCAAATCGCAAAGTCACATTGTGTGTGTTGCTGGACAACAAACTGCATTAGAAACGCCATTCACTAACAGTTACTGGAGTGTTTGTTTAATTGTGACTGGCAGCGGGACGAGAAATGAGCTTTTTGTTATATTTGGGACCATATTAATTAAGTAGTTGAATTTCCAGTTTCTTTTACTGTATACACTCCAGAAAACGGAAATGGTTATAAAAGCCTTCTCATGGGCCGAGGTATCATCAATTAACAGGGAATCTTAGCGAAAAAACTACAGAATATTGATTAAAAGTGACAAAATGAGACATTTTCAAAATTACACTACATTTAAAGATGAAGGGTACAACCTGTGCAATATTAAATTGAATAATCATTTGAGAAGACTGTGGGATGGATGTAGCTTTCACTCCTGAAGGTTGTAGGCCTGTTTACTATTACACTTGCAGTTGTATATTTCTAATGCAAGTTAATAACCTCAAGCAATGCCTGATGGCTACCTCAAAATATTTTACAAGGAAATGTTTCTGTGATCTTTAAAGTAATTACGATCTAGGAGTAGACAGTATCTAAAAATAACCAACCAGAATATAAAACTAAATAGGATATTGAAGTTATACATGCAGTTCTATAATCTGTAGGCAGTCAACAATAAATATGAGTAAAGCTGTTGAAGTGAATTTCCGGCCAATCAGAATTCCTCAAATGAAACTTACAATTTGCAGCGTAGCATAAAAGACTGATAAGATTTCAGCTGTACATAGGTACAGTCACTTCAAAGTATACATCCTATTAGCCTATGAATTAATATGGTTTTCATTTCAGCTATAAGATTTTTTCAAAACTTTCGCTGGTATGATTTTAGGATATATATATATATATATAAATTGCTCTTATTCAGCGGCAGCTAATCTTCTGTATTGTATTTAGGTATAGAAGTTTTAAGATTTATTTGTTATTTTTAAACTGAGTTTACTGAGAAACAGGTGTGGTAAAGCCATCTTACAGTTCACAGAATTAATCAGATAGAGAAACACTAATGTGATGCAGGTGATCCTTGTAAATAACTCTGTCTTTCAAAAGCTAAATACACCCATAAAATCTGATGTGTAAGAAAACGGGATGGCAAACAGAGAGCATAAACCACATTAGGGAGAACAAATATAAGCATGAGGTAGGCAGATTTATAATCGCAAGCAAGGAATAACTAAAACCCGGAGTTATTTCAGTCATGCATCTAAATTTTCCTCGAAAAAAGGCAAAGATTTTTTGACTATTACAGTGACCGAATCAAAACTAAGTTTCATTATCCTCTGCTTAAATTATTCGTATATATACCAATTGTCGTCATTATTTTTCCCTTGGATTCCAAGGGGAACAACACGTCTGCACTCTGATTATCGCTTGTGGTCCTCTTCAGCTGGTCCCATAATCACCCGTAGTCTCTGATCTCCTCCTCCCCGAATGATCTCCTACATGTCACCCTCGGACGACCCAATCGTAGTTTCCCATTCAGGTCGCAATCTCGGGCCTGGCACGCGATGTCATTTGACGGTATCATCAGCACGTATCCAATCCATCTCCACTTTCATAAACATATTTCTCCAGCGATAGGTTCTTGTTTGGTTGATTCCCAGAGTTTTTTGTTGCAAATTATTTCAATATGGGGCGAAGACAGCTTTCGATAATGTCTGCAGCCCGTTAGAGAAGCTTTTCGTGACAAGCTAGATTTCTGACCCATGTAGAAGGTGCAATGTACATTGAATCCTTGAATGGCTTAACCTTGGTATCAAAAATCTGAATCTTGTTCTTTATGCTGAGTTAGTGCAGAAGATTTGGAGACTGATTTCAAAGTGATGAAGGCGTACCTTGCCTTTTCGATCCCGCCTTTGATATTTTCATTCATTCTGCGAGTAGTTGAGACGATGATGCTTAGATAAATGAGGGAAGTAGCCTCCTTCAAACTTCTGTTGATAGTTAATGGTGCTGTGGTTGGCTTGGTTATCTTCATTACTTCCATCTTCTATGTTCACCTGGAGTCCTATCTTCGCTGCCTGCCACTGCCGCCAGTTCGTTGGTTTTCGCCTGTAAGTCTTCGAGTTTGTGAGAAATGAATCACCTGAGAAGTCCAAATCTTGAAGTATCTTCTTATCGGTTCAGCGTGTTGTTGTCCACTCACTCCCTGTGCATAGACTGATGCATAATCCAGACCAGCACAATCAGGAATATCATCGATGAAAGAAGGCAGCATTTTCTTATCCCTATATTCACTGCAAACGTCCCGATGAGTTTTCCGTTGCTGATCACCTGACACTTGGCATTGTCATATAGCAAGCTGTTGAATGAGGTTGATAAAGGTTTGGGCAGTGCATGTCGTAGTGTTAAAGCAGTTTTCAAATTACTTCTCTGTCAACGCTGTCGTAGGCTTTTACGGAGTTGATGAAAGTGAGGTACAGATTTGACTGCCATTCTATGCTCTATTTTGTGATGAGCATGCGTTGAGGTGCTATTTAATCAGCATATGACTTACTTTTAGTGAATGAAGTTTGTTCCGGTCGGAGTTCTGCATCCAATCCAATTTTCATTCTCTCAAGGTTGACACGACTTATTATTTTGCTTGGCATGGAAAACAGGATGATTCCGCGCCACTTCCTGCACAGGCCTAAGTCGCCACTCTATCCTAGTTTCACAAGGTAGCCTTTCTTCAAGTCAGTAGTTACTTTTCTTTCTTCCCAAACATCTTGCAGTATTCAGGTGGGCATATTCGATTTGGCCTCTGGGTCTGTTTTCTTCGCCTTGGGGGAATTCCATCTGGTCCTGCTGCCTTGCTAGACTTCAGTAGCTTGACTGTATTCAAGACCTTGGCTCTTGTTTGGGGAGTGGTATCTACTAACAGTTCTTTGAGTGGTATTTATGGCATTTCTGGACGAGTATCAGGTGATAGTCGGTTCAGGATTCCTCTGAATTCCACGGCTCATCGTTTTATTAGCTTTCCCTCTTTTGTATTTAGGTTTTCTCGACCACTTTCGATTGGTTTCATCTGTGTTGATCTCTCCTTGGATAGAGACCTAGTTATCTGATATAATGTTCTGAGGTCTCCTTAACCTGCAGCATGCTCGTACTGCTTCAGTTGCCAGTGTGTTGTATAATTGTCTTTCTTCTTTTCTAGCACTCTTCTTCACTTCTTTATTCAGTGATATATGTACTGAACTCAGCTTCTGCTTTTCATCTTTCCACTAGTAAATTTGTTTCATCACACCCCTCTCTTCTGTTAGCTTCCAGGGGTTCGTACACTGCCAGTCCTTGTATCGTCTCTTCTGTCTTTCCACATCAGTTGTACAGGCTTCCTTGAACATCACCTTCAGAGAGTTCCATTGTTCTTCCGAACAGGTCCCCTCAGTGACGACATGTAGTATCTCCGATTTCTCTCTGATATCTGCAGTAAAGGCATCATTTGTAGTTTGTCCTTCATTTTCTGAGAGTTGAACTTGATTTATGGCCTGTCTGTAGTTTTTCTGAAGGATTTTAGCTCTGCCTTGAAGGTTTCTTGAACTATATGATGGTCTGAGCCTACATCTGCTCTCCTTCTAAACTTTGTGTCTGGCAGACTGCGTCTCTATTTCTTGTATTGGTCACCTGCAGTTATGAGAACGTAGCTGCTTCGCTGAATTGTGGATGAAACTTTAAGCCAAAAGCTTGGGAGGGCGGTCCTTTAAAAATGCGAATGCAACAGGCTTAGACATTTACAGTCATAATTTTTATTGCGATAGATTTCTTTCTGACATTATGGAAACTCACTTGAGTAACTAGAACTCTCAAAAGTGGCATTCTTCAAAGAGAACCACGACTATAAGAAATACGGGTTGTAGTTATGGTTCTTACTTGTTCGAATACGCAAGAAATTATGTCCTGTTAATTTAATATACTAGTCACAGACTGACAACTTTTATTAGTTTCATCTGAGCGTTTGTCTTTGTTACTGCGATTAAAATAATATTTATTGATTTCCTGAAAGACATTATATGGTCGATATCCGTTAACCTAAATAAAAGCCCACAAACAATGAATAATAACAACAAAGACTGAATTACTTTAAGAATTTTTGAAAACACGAAAGACAAGCAAATAAACAAATAAAACAGGAGATCACTGAATATTTATTTGCAAAGTGAGTTAATAATTAATTTGGTTATCAGTGGTCAGTATTTAGAAGACATACAGGCTAAACGTATTCGTTTCTGCTTTCACGCAAGTCATCAAGACATGTTACAAAAAGGGATGAATGTTGTACGTCATTTTTCTACAGTTATTAGAGATGATGGAATGATGCTCAAGTTAAACTTTATATACATAGATTTCAAAATTAAACACTTTCGTAAAACGCGAATGGCAAATGTTTTAGTATAACAGTAGTTTAAATCGATATCCCAGCAAATGACAGGGCAACGAGGAGCAGGGCAATACCTAATAAAGTCAGACCATTTCTATAAAAACAGGCATACTATTTCATTACTCAGAATTGTAATTATTGCTCTTCAGGTTAGATGTGTATGTATTTCTTTTATCTCAAACAATATTCCTTCCTCATTAGCTAATCATTGCTCTCATTATTAGAGGTCGAGATTTAAGCCTATGGAGAAGGATACAACTACTTTTATGCATAAAGTTTCTCATTTGTTATGCAGTCGTGATCATCACAGAGGAGAGCTAAAATTACTGAGTGAAATTTGCATATTCGCCTTATATATATATATATATATACGTACATAAGTGCGTTTATGTGTACGCGGTAGACTGTTTAATTTTTTTTGTTATTCTTTCACATTTCCTACTGCTTATTCCTTTTCTTGTTTCTACTTTTTCCATTAACTATTATGACTAGCATTTTTTGCAAACTTCAGTATTTTCTGCTTTTTTTATTGATTCTGATGATCTGAAAGGAAACATAAGTTTTGAATGGAAAACTTTTGTTCGTTTCGATTTAAATCTTGTCGGCCTGTTTAAGGTAAATTGTTTATGACCAGAATAGATGTGCCGACTTGTAAAGTTATGATTAACTGTGTAAAGATTCGCTATAGCTATTTTTTAAATCAATTTTGTCAAAACATACATCCGGAGATTGTTTAAAGACGGTGGGAATTAATTTACAGTTAAACAGTACTTCTTATAGCTGTTGGTGTTGGTCAACTTTGTAACCAGTTTCTGAACAACATGTAGTTGGATTTGAAAATAATAACGGCAATACCAAATGGTGAACGACCAAACTATAAAGAGACAAGTTTTTACAAAGATAAAAGCAGATTCTGCTGAGGAATACTGATGGACATGAAGTATTGGTCCAGAGCTTTCAATCAGTGGATATGTAACTTTTACAATAAACGTTTAGTGCGCACTGTTGTCGTGGCATTTTGACTTAAAACTTTACAGGTTGAACTTCATACGCTATAAATACTTAACATCTTATTGTATATTACTCCATGAAAAAATCTTATAATGGTTGGCAGCATTAGAACCACTGCAAAATTATGAGCAAACTGGAATTCTGACATACTTTATCTTATGTATTTCGATGTTCTGGCAGCGTGATTTGTACTGTCAGACTTTGTATTTTATTTCACTGACAACGGGATCATCAATTCTTAATTTAATAAAAGTGGTGAGTTTGTGCAGACAGACCATCATCTTGATGTAAACAGTTGACAATAATATTGTTGTACAGTACTTTTTACTGAGGTTTTGTGTTAACTGTGTTTATGGAACTCTAATTAACAGAAAGTCTGAGTAATCTGTCTTCAGTGTTGCCACCAATTTGAACCATACATCTCAAAGATAGAAATGGAGCTGAAATCATTACTCTACAGTGAGGCCTATTTACTCGGGATATTCTAACATTAGTGAATATTCTTGAAAATTCTGCGCTAAGCCTTTTGTAGCTGATTCTTTAAGTCAGAAAAAAGACCTATTTAAATATATTTTCCAGTTATACTGTATTTGGTATCGATCCTTAAATTTGTTTTGTTATCACAAATTTATAGCTTGTCAACTCCTTGAACGGCAAGTTATTGCCATCTACGGCCCATCAACACCGCATGCATCATCAGCAGTGCAAGCTTTATGCAATCAGTTCGGAATACCACATTTACAAATTGATTGGGGTTATCATCAAACATCGCGTGGATACGTGTTAAATGTACATCCACATTATTTAGCCTTTGGACAAGCTTTATATGATTATGTTCAGAAAGCTAAATATTGGGACTCAGTTGCAGTTATTTATTCCAGAGAAGAAAGTAAGTATTATCGCTTGTTTGTTTGAATGCATTGATTAATATGTATTGCATATTCTGATAGGTACTATTCAGAAAAAAGATTATTGTTTTTATTTAAGTAAGTTTTCTTCAAAGCCACAAACCCAACATCATATGTGCGTCGGTGGCACAGCAGTTAGGACTCTCGCCGACCATGCACATGGTCCGAGGTCCAATCCTCGGCCGACGCGCACTTGATTTCAATGGTTGGCCTGCTAAATTTGGGCTACCGATATCACATGCTGAAAATTTCATGCTTGTACCAAAATACTGCGTGGAATCAAGCTATAATAAAATAAAAAATAATCATATACATATACGTATGGTGAGAGGGTTGATGAAAAGCACCAAAGGATGATGAGGATTAAAGTAAAAATAACAAATAAAACAAATAAATGGTACAAATAGCTACAGACAATAATGTAATTCCCCTCCTGAAAGGTAAATATGTTTCTATTGGTTGGTGAATAGATGTAATGTAGGATAATAATACAGCTCTGTGTTAAGTGGAATACTGTTTCATTGAAACCTACACAAATATACAAGAATGTACTCTGTGCTCAGAACCGTTATTCGTTTCACGCCAATAAGACAATGAAAACTGTCCTGCCTAAAGAACCACAAATATGTATTTTAATAACTATTTACTTCAGTCGTGTAATCAACTTAAACATGCGACTATATTTTCTTAGAATGGATGATTAGGACTTAATTAGAAGTTTGTTGTGAATTGGTTAAGTAAATATCATACATTTAGTATTGTTGATTCAAGTGTTAGAGGTATGAATGGGTTGTTAACTATGGCCTGTTTATGAACCGGGTGTCTGGTAGTATGTATAAATTCAATGTAGGTGAGTGAACTAGATTTAAGTGTTTCAACTGTAAAGTGAAGAATTCGTCAAATTTTCTGCAAAATTAATATTTGCAACTTCCATAAAACAAGCAGATATTGTTTAGTACATTAGTAGAAATGTGTCTTTCGGAAAGATTCATTCGCTTCGGAATTAAGGAAGGTGACAGAAATCGTTAGTTGTCTGTGGACTTTTCGTTATGCATAATTCCGGAAGAAGTTTAAAGAATGTAATGAGTAATATCTTTTTGTCAGTCGTTTACTACTACATTCTAAAATGGAAAGATTTCAGCAGTTTTCACTTTTTAGACATCTGACTGATGCCTCTTGGTTATCTGCATAATTCATACCTTCCTTGTATGGTAGACTTTTAAGTTGAGTTCATAATACCTTAGTTGCACTTTCTTTATTTGATAATCGATTAAAGAAGTCATTTGATAAAATGAATAAATAAGCGGGAAATTTAAACCAATAGGAGAGCTGTTCAACTATTAGGTCTCACAGTAGGTCAGTTCAGGTATTCAGTACAGTGAATCGGTGGTTAGACTGATATTTAACAGGACTAGTTAAGCCAAAAATGAATTCATCTGTACAGGAGGAATCACTCTTTAGAGGAATAACACGTTTTGGACAACATCTTATTATTACAAATTCAAATCATCTCTCAATAAAAGTATGCATTTTTTCTGAGTATTTTTTTAATGAAAATGTAAGTGTTGGTGCCTTTACTAAATTTCCATTATAAATAGGTTTACTGAAATTCGATTACCTATTGAGAACATTTGATCAACATATAATACTACGTAAATGGGACGTTTCAAGTGATAATCAGAAATACGTGATAAAACAATTTAAAATTAGTCAGCCATATTATCGTTTTATTGTGGATATACCATTTTGGGAGATACAAGATTTTTTAGCTCTTGTAAGTCACAGTCATAAATTTGGAATTAGTTATCATGATTCATTAATAATCGACATGATTTATTCATGAATTATTCAATTTGATTGAATCACAACATCCAATGCTGTGAAGTTCTTCAGTCCACTGTTGTATCATGTACATTTATTTATTTATTATTCAGAATGACAACTATAAAGTTTAAGTTGCGCAGGATTTCACAACATATTTTACCTAGGAAGTATTCAGTGTTGAAGTTTGATTGTCAACTGCTACCCTCTGGGACTGATGGTTCTGAATCGAAGAAACTAATGGTGGGCGAAGTTGAACTAGGCCAGACACCCTAATCGAGCTTACCACTGACCTCGGGCAGCTATTAGAATTAAAGGACAATAAAAGTCATAATATAATTGAAATGATGACCATAAATTATCGTGCTTCAAGGTCATTTTATATTTCGTTCTCCTACCTCAAAGTTTCAATTCTGAAAAAACTCTGATGATTCTGTCAAGCTTCTCCAGCATATGCATGTTTTAGTAACTCGAACTAATCCATCATTTACACGATAATTAGACACTTGATTTTTCTGGAACTCTGTAAACAAATCCTAAACGGAAGGCATAATCTGTTTGGGCTATCGAAATCTATGTATCGGTGTGGCTGCTATAGTTTAACTTTATTTAATGATGAACCACTATATATATATATATATATATATATATATATATATATATATATATATATATATATACATATAAATATGAATTCGATCTATTGTTTAACATGTAACAAGGTCTAGAATGCAGACAATTGAATCATTTCTAGTTTATATCAGTCACACGATCGTGAACTGAATTACCATTAATTGTTAAGAGCATCCTGTAAGAAAATATAACTGTTCAAGCAAGACACCTGGGTTAATTTAATCTGCTACTTGATTCTGTTGACTGCAAGTAGAAGCTACTGTTGTTGACTGTTATTATATTTCGGCGAATCCATATTGTTTCCGAAGCATTTATTTAGCAGTGTAAGTAGTTCTGAACTATTTAAACTGATCGACAAAGTTCTGCAAAAGAATCAAGGTGATATTCCAAGAAAACGTTTTTCATTGAAACAGTATTCCGAAGTCAGGAACTGCTTGTTGTTCATTATACAGTGACTTTGAAAAGTTTTGCAAAAGAAGAGCACTTTCCATTTAAGTCCCTAAGAGAAGTAAGCAATTAAAATTTGCAATACTTGATATTTTAACAGTTTATGGTGAACATTAAAATTGCACTGAAATGAGATGATATTGATTACTTTATGGTGCCTTTCCACAAATTAGTATAGGAAAGAGCATTTACTCATCAGTAGATTGTCGGAGTATGTCACTAATGACGTGCTGGATATTTCGAAGCATTAAAAATTTATTTACTGGTAGACCAAAAAGATGCAAATTATCCTCAAACAGTTCACGAAATGTTTAATTTATGAACGGACGTTTTACTTCTGTGTGAGTTTCTGTCTATGTACTTAAATTTTTACAATATTTGTAATAATAACAGTGAACTAGAAGATTCCCTAGTGAAGAATACATTTTAAACCGGTGCCCATACTTCCATCTGATCTCGTAGTTTACTAATGGTCTATGCACAAAGCTAAAGACGACTCTTAAAGGATAGTTGTTTATCAAAGAAAAGTTGGATAACTAGGTTTGATAGGCCTTCAAAAAGAAAAGAAATCCTAGTAATATTAGGCTTAATTACATTACTTTGAAAGCAAATATTAAGACCTATATTTCTAAATCAGAAATATTTTCATGATCTTATTTTTTTAAACATTTCAAGGCAAACATGTACAATTTGACTTCTCAATATTACAGTTATGTGTTCACGGATTGGGTAAGATAATTGTTTATCTCATATTTTCTGGAGATGAGTTTATCTGATGACTGTTGTTTATACTATTATTATTATTATAATTATCAGTAACACCTTGCTATCATTAGAAGGTCGCATGAGAACAGTAGGTGTTTCTATCCTGGTTTCAAATTATTCATCGGTGTGAAACGTCTCTCGTATAGTTGATCGTCTTAGATAGGTTAAAGCATTCATTTTGTGATTTTGTTCAAGATGTGTGAAAAGACAGATTTTATCCAAAAAGTTATCAGTACACTTTTGTACTTTCAATAGTTAAACTGCTGGATTGCTGACAATTAGCATATCTACTCACAAGATACAGCACAATTATAAGACTTTTGTTATTGTGGTAATATCCACTTTGTAGGAAGGTAAAAATACTGAAGAAAGTATAATAGAGATGGTAGAACTAAGGATTTAATCCAAAATAAGTACGTTACTAGAGTTTAAAACTGCAAAACAGTTTCTTACAGATGATTGTTCAGCCAATCAGCATTGAGCGAATACTGCAGTAATTAAAAGATTAACGAGTAATTGATGAATTTACAGATGTTATCCCAAAAAACGAGTAAATAATGCGGTCTAAACAAGTGGAGTGTGGTCATTTCACTCAGTCATTTCCTAAGCCTTTTGCCAGTGACTCATTCTACCGGAGGCTATATCAGTCTTATAGGTTGGTCACTTTTACAATAAACTTTAAGACAACCTCTTTTTCTGATATGGAGTTAAATTTTTAGCTTCCACCTTCCGTTCCGTCCGCACGCCTTAGGCTATTGGTCGACAATTCATACTGGCTATTACATCTAATGTCATTCAGAAACAATGCCCATTTACAAGAGGATTGAACAATACTTCTGCAACATAGTCTCTGAAAATATATCTACACTAAACCGTTCTTAGAGATAGAAGGAACTGGTTTTACTAAATGCCATTCTGGAGCATTCGCATGTGTGTGCTAAATTAATCTAAAATGTACATAAATCTTTGTTGTAAGATAGGAGTGTTTTAATGAAAAATGTTGGTATTTGAGGGTATTTAAAATTACTTATTAATCCCTTCTGTCATAAATATAAATACCTTATTGTTTGAACGTGTTTAATAGGATGTCCAATTGGTTGATCCAAAAGCATTCGAATCAGTTCAAGGAGCTAACATTACGACTTTCTCTGTTTTACATCCTATGAATGAAGAATCTGGCTATGGAGTAGCTGCACTGCTAGATGATATTCGTGTAACCGCCTTACAAGATAAACGTTTCACACGTAGCTCCACGTCAAGACGTATCAGCCCAGTAAGTTTTGGTCAGTAGGTTAAATAATGCAATACAAAATCTAGCTTCTCTTCCTCCTCAAGCGCTTTTCGTAACACTTGAAGTTGCAATGATAGTGTGTGCCAGTGTTATTCTGCAACTGATTTATATTGTGAGAATAATATACTTTAGATCACCAGTCTAATTGTGATTAGTCATCTAAGAAAGTCAGTTGTGGAAAACAAGGACAAGACAAATGAGCATTTTAAAGTAATTTGTTGACGAAAATTACTTACACAGCGTATTTTCCGAACAAATTAACTTCGTTTTACGGTGAATTAATATCCTTGTATATGCATAACTGCGGTATACATCTTATAATATATCTCTTTTTATGCGGTCAGTTGGTAGGCATTTAGTGTCTTCAACCACTTAGCTTACTGGATATAGATTGAACAATAAATCTTGCTGTCGAGAAGACAGGGTTCTTTCAACTACATTGTCTGCTCACACCAAACGATGAATAGGACTTATAAGAAAAGTAGTGATAGGGTAGATGATGAAACGAATAAAATGAAGCGACGTCTAAGGCCTATAATTAGTCGACGTTTTCAAAACAAATTAACGTGTATTAGCATTTCCTTTTGAAGTATTAAGAAAGGAAATTTGATTAACATCTCATTCTTTTGGTCAGTTAAAAATGATGACCAACTTTTAGTTTCTAACAGTAAATATTTTATTATGTTATTGTACAGTTAGTTTCTTACTTTGAGAACCCTGTAACCGGTTGGCAAACTTTAAGAATAGTTTTATCCAAGCAATGCTACGTTTTCTACTTGAGCCGCGATAGAACCTGAAATATATCTAAGTATCGAGTGTGATTTGTCTGCTGACAGTACAAGGCGTGTTAATAATCCTTAGGATTATTAGTCATTTGGGACTGGGACAAATTCATTCTAAAGTATTCGAACAACCTAAAAACACTTATTACACTGTCAGACGATTTGTCATGTACAGTGAGAAAGTAGGCATTTTGTTCATATGTGTTTCATAGCTTAGTCTATTTTAAAATTAGCTTAAGCAAACGTCTCAATTCTCAGAGGTGTTATGTGGTTGCTACTACTACTACTACTACTAAGAACTTTTGAGTGGTCTAAGCAATGCAATTAGTGAACAATAAAACGTTACATTACAATGTATAGTATTGCATCTGCCAGACAAAATTGTTTACATACAGTAGTTGATCATTGGAGAGAAGTTAGGAATCTAAGCTTGCATGCCAATCAACAACCTGCTTCAAGTCAAATGAAGTGCTTTGTGAAGACGGATAGCCTTTGCTGTCAGTTTATTCACAAAAGTTTAATATCATTCAATGAAATACAGTTTGAGCTGTCACTTTATTGTGGAAAAGCATTATAAAATTTAATTGTTGTGTTAAGGGGACAAGAAATCAGGTATTAACTGAAGTGACATTTTTATTGGCAATGTCGAAAGCCTTAGACAATTGACGAATGGTTGCAGAAAACCGGTGTTTGATTAAATTCATCAGCAAGATTGGTAAACACAATGAAACCGATGCTCTCATACAGCAGTTAGTTCGGGTAAACCAACAAGGCGTTCATAAATGTTACACTAGTTTTTTTTCTCCTGTAACTGTGGCTTCCAGTGACGTAAGTTCTAGTCTTCAAACAGGAATCAACTTGGTCAATATTCTGGATACATCAGGCTAATAAATACCAGTAAAAATGCGACAGTCTAGTGAGTCTGGAATAGTAAAATCTATGCTAAACATACTTCAAATTTTTATTTGAAAAACAGACAATTATTACTGCGAGGAGTTTATTCTTCGACTATATAGTCCTTGTACTGACCATCGTATTTGTTTTGTTCCATATCAGCTTTTTAGTAACTAAACAATAAATCCAGCCTGACATGTATAATCTAACTGCTTCTAGTTTCTCACGCAAATTAATAAATCCATTTGCATCGTTACGGATGATTCTATAGCAGACGAATGTTTTAGAATTGTTAAAAAATTCACAAGAAATTTCATCAAGAGTCAAACACATAAAAAAGTATATTTGTTTTTCTTCAGAAAGCATTCATCAGTTAGCCAACAGTTATACACAAAAGGGTGTATACGAATTTTAAGTTCTCATTAAACTTTTTAAAGCATTTACTTTTGTTGCCAAACCCATATGCCTGCAAAGGACGACTTTGATAATGACAATTGTAAGGGTAAATGTGGGAAAAAGACAGCCTGTAAAATCAGATTTCAAAGCTCACTGTAAATCACTCACTGCAAGCCGATAGATAATAATTGTCAGATTATGAGTTTTCAGGAAATTACAAGAAACCAGTTCCTACTGACAGTGACTCATTGTTAATAAATAACGGCATATGCCGTCACTACCAATATCTGACGTAGTGTCATTAATTCATGGCGGAATTTGTCATAACTGGCAGGTCTACATGATAATAGTAACTTTATTCTGAACAGAATTTATATGATGTAAGGAATTTTCAGCGGAGTTTTTCGTATGATAATATCCCTCCGTCCAGGATCTTCAAATACAGGATTAAATTGACATAAGACAGTGTGACATAGTTCTATCTGACCAGAAGAGTGAACTAATGCATAACGATATCTCTTCTGAATCTGCTTAGAGAAATATACGACATTTTGTTGAATGCCAATTATGAAAATTTCAGGAGTACATTTTGTGAACCAACGACACCACTTAGGAACGGTCATTTCATGTGTTGGGGTAAACTACCGTCGACGATCATGCTTTTCCACATGCTTAGTAGAAACCTAAGAATCAGCAATTTGTAAATACTCGTTAGAGCATACATACTGTTAAAGGTCGTATTTAATTAGATCCACACAAATTGAATAAGAGGAATTGTATGTAATATAATGATAGGGCTTTTTCGATAGCACAGTTTCTAAGCAGGCTACCAAAACAAAAACCTTTTAAAGAAATGGGCATACATACCTAAAAGTATGTCTCAGTGATTATTAAAATTCTCAAAATGAAATATAACTGATGTCACAGGAACGATTGATCATAGAAGTAATTTATAGCTACACTTTATGTTCATATGAGTACGCATATTACTATTACTTTTATTTGTTTGAAAATCGCTTGATCATTTGGCAAAAGGAATATGTGATTCAAATAACAAGCATTTTTCGTCCATTTAATTTACCACAGCAGTGTGTTAATAGTTATGTGTAGTTCCTTTCATGAGTGCGTCTAACAGTTTTACATTCAAAACATAATGCAACTAGTAACATCGTTATTAAACGGTGTATACTTGTATAGTGAGGCATTTTGATGCACCTTTACATGATTTTTCAGACTCATTCTGCTCTTCTTTACGATGGTCTAAGTCTATTGGCGATGGGCGTCTTGTCGTCATCACGTTCAACAAATATTCTACCCCAGCTGGTTTATCCTGTTCTGTGAATCGTGTGTGGAATCCAGGCTTGACACTGATGAATGACATAAAGGCTGTGAGTTGTTTTTGCATACATGCTTATCCATTATGCTATTATTAAACATGATACAAAAATTACTAGATGAACCCTTTATATATATATATAATTCTCATAGGGCCTTGTAGAAAGACTAAGAACCTGTTGCTATAGGCTGTGGTGATTATGTGCGATTTCATTGATCCACCGGAGTATTCCTTCTGGAGAATAAAGTTATTTTTGTTGAGGTGCCAATTCTTTTTATCGACTAACTTTCACTTAAGATACAAATATATCACATTTAACAGATAATCATTTCTTATAAATAGTAAATGAGTATTTTAAAAGTGGCATTTAGGATTGAATCAACTGCTTATTACTTTCTATTTACTGAAATGAAATACAATTATGAAACATTTTTGGGTTTTGCAACTGTAAATAGTAGATAAATTGTGAAAAGATGTTCGTCATAAGTCCTATGCTGGTTGAGTTTTCCAGATTTGATGTGGACTACATCATCACTAAACTTTGGTATATTTTATGGATTCATATCGGTTAATGAAACACTAGAAACCATTCTATATATTCTACCAATCAAATTTTAAAAAGCAACTGGAGGATTGCTCCAACAAGAGTAACTAAATTAGCCGTCGGACAATTACTTCAAGCATCTAATCGTCGCAGAGCAAGATATTTGGCAGATTTTTAAAATTCATAAAGAACTGTAGTGCGAATGGAGTTAAAGTTACGTTGTAAATACTCAAAACAAAGTTCTGAGTTTCAAATTTCTCTGTCGAGGAATATATATATATATATATAAATATATAATTTCTTTCATTCACAAAAGTGGGAAGTGTGTCATCACCCAGGGGAGTGATTTTTGGATCACGTTTGCTAAAATAATACAGACTTAATAATTTTAATAAGCAAGAATGTGATTAAAGATGTTAATGAGGCGATACATATTTTCCCAAAGGGATATCAGTACAAACTGGCTTCGTCTCAAAAATAAGTGAACTCATATTTATATCAGTGTAATTAAATAAATAGGTTTTATTGCTTGAATAAATGCAAATGTTTAATTATCATTAATGGGGACAATAAAGAAATGATATCTCGGTGGCATATTGATTTTAGAGATGCAGTCATGCTGGAAATTAGTACAATATATATATATATATCTTTTATTCATAATTATAATTTACGTAAGAAACCCTTATTGTGCTTTTTGTGTGGAAGAAAAAAGCAATATATGCTTGGTTAGTACTCACTGGTCTTCTGGACAATTATTCCTCTTTAAATTACGTTTACGATTGACATCTTAATTATATACAGAGATTGGGTGATCATCAGGTAAACTGGCTTTTTAATTCAGTCTGGAAAGTCTCAGTGGTGATACTGTTATTTTAGAAATTTGGTTAAACTCTGCAAATTCACGTATTTGATGAAACATATACAAACTGCGATTGCTTTTTAAAACCCTGTAATCACATTTTTCCCTTTACAAATGAAGGTTCGCCCAACCAGTTTTCGAGGTTTGACGGGACCATTTCAGTTTGATGGGCACGGCTGGCGTTCAAATGCACATCTGATCATCTTGGAACTGAGTCGAAATGGATTCCAGGAGGTATGTAAATCCGCAATTGTTCTTCCAAAAATCTTTTAACTGAGGAATTTCAAAGTACTGTCAACTTCACTGAAGGAAAATGAATACTGACTTTGGGCTTCTAAAGAATTTTGTCTACTGCCTATTTGTGTATACTGAAAAATGCTATGCCCGGCTAACCAAATTTATAAAACTGAGATCTGTTGAGAAACGGGGGAAAATTAGTCATTTTGAGAGATATCTACGAAATTAAATGTAAGCTTGGAGGCCACTCATTATTCAGTAGGGAAGCAAGGCTGAGGATAGAGTTTACAATGAAAGCAAAGCCTCTCTTTAAGGACACAAAATCTGAGGAGACACCAAAATTGCCAGAATCCCTACCGTCGGAAATGTAAGAGTTCATCCTCCCACCAGTGAAGAAATCATTTGCAATGTGCCATTATAAAACTAAACTTTAAGAGTCTAATTTGTGGAAGTAGAATATCTCAGGAAACGAAAATAGTAGGTCTTTACAAAAATTAAAAGTTTCATTGATATAGGTGTACAGTAACAAGTCCCATGTCCTGCATACAAATGAATCCTTAAAATATATATCGTTTTTTGAATGTCTGAACTGTTTTACTCTGAAATCTATAAAAGTTGGTAATATATATTCAAATAGGCCCGGTAAAGTGATCCTGTATACTTATCCAATGAATCTGCTGAGTGTTAAAAACGTGGTTCTTTTAATTCTGTAGTCAAGTGTTCAACTTAAGCTGCTACGCTTCTGCGCTGAGTTCAGTGCTGAAGTTCATTGAGCTTGTAGTGTCTTAGAAGGGGAAGTTTGGGAGTGTTGCAGTAAGGAAATCTTTGACATTAGTGTGTCACCAATTATGTTGCGCATTTTATTGAACAAATAATTCTGGAAAATCCCACCGTTTTGTCTGAAAAATAAACAGTGTTATAGGTAAAAGTACTTTAAATGTATTTCAGTCATAAAATCAGCTGTTCATCACGATGGAACAATGCTTCTCTTAAAAAGAATTAAATAGAAGGGAAATATTAATGTATATATGAGGAGACATTTCGTCAGAATGAGTGCATTTTCATTGCATCAGAAAGCATACGAGATAAGTTTTTTGTTACCTGTGTAAACTAAGCTTGGTATTGTTTCTATGTGAATGTAATAACCACAAGGTGGGATGAATCATCCATATTTATCGTTTTAATCACATTATTCTAAGTAAAGGTATTTTTTGACTGATGATGACTGAAAATTCAGTCTAGAACTCTTATTTTTGTACTATTAGGAATTCATCCGTAGTCTAGGCAAACTAATAATTCTCACACTTCCCACGGTAAAGTAGTTAGGGAATTAAAAAATATATTTACATTATCTTTAACAAAGGTTAAAAGCTTATTGGGAAATGCTGACTTGTTTCTCGGTGACTTCAGTTTTCTAAACATGTTACCCGGGGTTTCCTATGATAACTAAATTTGTGCTTATTCACAATAAGTAGACTAGCTTATTCATAGTAAGTGGTACAATCAACAGTTATTCCAACTGATGAACATCAGTAAATGAACAAATGATAGATTAAGTGACAAGATATGTATATACATCTACATTATTGATTGAGACGTTGTTCCTAAAAAATAAACGGAATGCAAACTAGGCGTAACATCAACGTCCATTTAGCTTGGTGACACTTCTGACTTAAGAGGTTGGTTATAATTCCCATCTGCACAAACTTTGTAGCCTCTAACACATTGATTGAAACCTGAATTTTTGAATAAAATGTCCGAGCTACATGATGCTTATTAAAGCTGTGAAAAGTGTTACCTTAAACGGAATAAGTTAAGTAGATTTTTAATTTTCAGATGTGACCAAAAATTCTGATTGAATTCATTATTCAAAGATGTGATGCGCTGAATTTAGTCTTTCTTTAGTCATTACCGTCGCATATTTCTTGTTGATTGTAACCAAACATTTTTCTTATCCTTTGAAATGAAGTATATATATATATATATATCAGCTGCAAAGAAATACAAGATCACCTGTTGACTCACCTATGTTTGTATAAATATACCTGTTCGATGGTTAAATAGTCGGCTGTTCAAAAATTTTTTCGTCAAATCTACGTTTTTGAAGCAGTCTCTGTCTTAATCGTTAGTTAGTGTAGCTGTTTGGTTGAAAGGTAATGGAGAAAAACAGGAATTAGATCAGCCGGTATGACACTGCAAAGTACCACGTTTAAAATGATATAAAGTTTCTACACACTACGGTCAACCAATTCGGTGACTTAATAAATCATTATGAGACGAATTATGTATTAGTATTAGTCAGTCTTAACTCATGGATTGGTACCTGATTGAAAAGTAAATATTTCACTGCTGAATTTTCTGTTCAATTGGGGAAATTCAACCGTTTTTTGTATTTCTGTTGTATTTAATAGTACGGATATTGGAATATGGATGAAGGAATGGTTGTGACGAAAAATTTCAGCCTCACAAAGCAAGAGTATCAGTCTGAATTGAAAGGAAAGGTGCTTCGTATAACTACACAAGAAGTAAGTCTGATTCAATGCCTAATATTCTACAAAGATTTCAGTACTCATCTTTCTAGTCTAACGAACATCATTTTCTACCAAGTGATCATGTATCAACTTTTTGGTGCTCTGTTGACTAGATCTTCTGAAATTCTGTGAGTGCTGTCATCCCCTAAATTAAAGCAGACCGTAAATCTCAACAATATGCAGAAATGCATTGAGTAATCATGTAGTACTTATAAAAAAGTTAAACTTCAAGCTGTAACTCAGATAGTTGTAGTGAGTTTAATTAGAGGTGAAATTCACACGAAATTATCTGTAACAAAGTGGGACTTTTGCATCAAGTCAATAGATATGTAAACATAGTATCAATAGGAAGTTGTATACTTCCTTGGATGAAAATGTAATTCACTCCAAATATTTTGATGACGCACTAACTTTTCAGATTTCTTTTAATTAATTCTTCATAGATTTATTCATTTCACTATTTTCAACCATCTACATAATCCTCCATCTTTCGGGATGTATTTAGAATATTCAAAGTATTATGACGAAAATTATTTTTGTTCATATTTCTTGAAGAAAAGAAGCACAACTTTCAAAACATATTGCTTTGTGGTATGATCGTAATCGAGCCTCATTCTGGATGTAAAGAGTTTTTTATTAGTATCATAAGTGAAAGGAAAAGGAATGTTCTCCAAGGCTTTAATTTGTGTTCGATGACGGAAAGAAATAATAATTTTTGTATGCTACTTACTGAAAAGCGATTTCTATATTCTGTTTACAGAAGTGAGGGCATAAATTTATTGCATAATGCACATTCTTTAAGAAAACAATATAGTGCGTCGTAACTTAATAGCTGGCGTTTAACTTGTTGAACTCATAAGCTAACAGTTCTGAGTGTGAACCACTAAACAGGGGTCGCTTAGCACAGAAACAGTTGTCCTCAACTTCTTGGATTTACATGGTTCATTTCCATCATAATAAACTTTATATCGAAGTAGTGAATCACATTAAATTCACAGTAGTACATCAAAAGCCAAATGAATTGTGATACCAGCAGGTTGTTGCAAAGTGTTTCTGTTTTTCAAGCTATTAACATACACGTATGTACATCTGCATAAGATATTCATAGAAATATAAAAAACGATGCAAAGTTCTTATCTGGCTCTGTCGTCTTAGAAACCATCACTGGAAACCCTCTAGCTTCTTGTTCTACTTACTTAATTGATAAAAGATTTTACCAACTAGTGTCAAGTATTAGTAGCTCCACTCTCAATTGTCTATTTTGCGCTGTTACTGTACATGTCATTGTGCACTGATGTAAAGATTGATTCAGATTGATATGGATATATCTACACATTTTGAACGAGTGTAGATGACTACATGAGTAGATAAATGTTCCACCTCTTTCACAATAATTTAAATGTGCATGAGGGATTTTATAAAGTCAATGGTGGTAAGAGTAGTATACTTAATGAAATTACTTGCACACTGTGATGTTAAATTGGATTATGACTTACGAATGTTTTCATCTCTTAGGCATTTCATTTTGTTCTCCTTTCGTTTGTTTCATTTCATTCTTTTTTCTATCATGGTAGGAAAAACCTTATATGATGTATAAGGGGAAAACGCTGCCTGGTCAGCCAAAGTCTACTGATCCCAAGGACTGGGAAGGATTTTGTATCAGTTTATTAAATCAAATCAGCGAAGACTTGCAGTTTACGTACACAGTTAACTTAGTCCCAGATTCAACATATGGTAATATGAGGATTGTAGATGGAGTGGAGATGTGGGATGGCATGGTACAAGAACTACGAACCCGGGTAAGAAATGTCCGCATATAAATGTAATTTCATGTCGTATTTTCTTGTTCTTCAAGTCAGGAGTGTGGGTAGCACGGAAGTAAGACTCTTTGTCAGAAATATTTTTAGTTCACTGATCCATATTCTCAAAAGAAATCAGTTTTGAATGCTCCATAAATCTTAAATATTGTCGAATATATATATATATATATTAGATGTTTGTATAATTTCATTTCTGTTCTCTTTTTGTCAGTTATTACTGTTATGCAAACAGAAATCTAATTACTTTATACGTCTTGAAATAATAGAAAAGATTTGTAACTCAGGTGGATGATTTGCAATTGATAGTGTTCTCTGAGCTCCTTGGTTTAATTGCGGAGCTTTCATCGTCTTTCTGGACGACATCTTCAGCGCAGTATTTAGGATAAAGTGAAATGATTTAAATTTCTTCATGAGTCTCCCGGTAACCATCTTTAGATATTTATTGACCAATTTCTATTGATTGGGATTTTAAACTTTCTGATCACCTGATTTACTTCTTATTATTTGATATATTTCATCTATATTAACGTGTTTATTAATTGCGTTTTCATTTGAGTACCAGGCTTCTAGGAATTCTCTGGCACATTTGGTGTTTCCTCTGTTTAGATGAAATATACCAACTAATAAGAAGTAAATCAGGTGATCAGAAAGTTTAAAATCCCAATCAATAGAAATTGGTCAATAAATATCTAAAGATGGTTACCGGGAGACTCATGAAGAAATTTAAATCATTTCACTTTATCCTAAATACTGCGCTGAAGATGTCGTCCAGAAAGACGATGAAAGCTCCGCAATTAAACCAAGGAGCTCAGAGAACACTATCAATTGCAAAACTTTATACGTCTCTTAGTCAGTCATCATTACAGTGAATTTTTTGAAGATCTTTACCAAATATGTATTCTTCTAGTGAGTCTTTGGAACCTCTGCGCCGTTCACTTATTATTTCTGGACAACAACACCATGGCGATAGTTTCAGTAATTTCATTACTTTACGACGAGATTGTATTACTGGTACATATCGAAAAGTTTAAAAGACGGAAATTGAAAGTATGAATATTGTTGGTTTCTACTACTAAATTCAGTACTACTTCAGAAAAATTAGAATTAGGAGTACAAAGTGGAATTGATAATGCTGAAGCCCCTCTTCTAAGTAATTTATTGATAAGCCTTTGTCGAATTATTTCTCGTAAACACAGATTTCAAAATAACCGTTTTTCCAATCAATTACAGGTTAACCTTTTTATGATATTGATATTGTTTTGTATATATGCACATTTAGAATCCCTTCACCAGGATACGCAATCCACTTTCATCTACCATATATCACATTTGCAAATAACAGGCTGATCCTAAAAAGTTGCTGACTTTTTATAAGAATTATAGATTCATTTCGCCACACAAGCATTCTTAGGAACTAATTTCACAGGTACATAAAATAGTGAGCTTAACTATGAAACAACAACTTAATGACCTGTTTTCATTATAGGTGTATAATGCAAAATGTCTATCAAAGTATTTTTAAAGTTTTCTATATGTGAATTAACAGTTTACCAAAACATCTGCTCTGTTAATCTTAGTGTAGTCTTGTGCATTAAAACTATAAAACAACTGTTTCAGATAATACATAAATTTAGAGACGATGAGTGTAATGTCGAAATCGGACGGAAGGATACGGATTTTAACTGCTGAGTATTGTAAAATATGACACTTACCTGGCTGATTACTCTGGCAACCGTCATCGTTATTTCAACCTCTTTTGTAGTATATTCTTTATTTGAGAGACTAGAAGAGTGGAAGCTTAAAAGTATTAGTTTTTTATCTCTGTCCATGTGAACTATTTTTAAATATAACCCATCAACTGATGGAAAACAGCCTAAAGTTTTTGCGTTCTAACCAAACTAAGAATAAGAATAGTTACACTATTTTACATAGAGGCTTCGTGAAGGTTCGCAATCAGTCACTATCAATAAAAGCTGTGCTAACAAAATCGAAGGTTATAAAGACAACAGGTCACAAGGTGCATGCTTTAACTTTCAGGAAAATTGCTTTATAGACTTTTAACAAAAAAGGACATTTGTTCAAGGAACACTGAGTGGGTAATCTACGACTGATTATCAAATTTCATGCTGACCATTACTGTGACCTATTTGGTTGTTACTTAGTTAGTGCAGTAATTAATATAAGTTTTCGTTCAGTGAAGAAATATTTCCTTTCAACGACTTCATTTTCAATCTGTACAGTCGTATTTATATTACAGAAAAAGTTATTAAGTGGCACCAGAAATTTCTCAGTCAATATATACCTGAAGGGAATAAAGATAAAGAGGATGAAGATGAAGTGAAGTGGAATGAATTCAAGTAGTAAAATAGAATAAAATAAAAGAACATAGAGAAGTTCAACAATAGAGTCCCAGGGGCGTGAACGCTCCAATGACCTTGAACGCATGCTAGTCGTTGGCTAACGGCATCTGTCATTATCATAGCTGAAATACCAACGCTATTCACCAACTTAGGAGTAAATTTCACGTGCTTTTAAGTAGTGTTTGGACAATGTCTTAATAGCTCAGAGTTAAGGTAAGTTTTGGGATTAGGGTTAGAATTACGGTTTGGATAAGGGTTATGATTAGTGTTTGGGTCAGGACTAAGCTTATGGTTACGATTAGGGATAGATTTATAGTTGCTGTCATTTATTTTTATTTTTTTATTATCCACGTTTTTCTGGTAAGTAGTCGTCTGTCCTCTTGCTGGAAACCATAATAATGCAACTGAGGGCTTTTTTGGAGGACTACAAGCAGGATGAGAGAGATAAACGATTCCCAAAAACAGTTTATCTGTAGTCGTCTCGGTGAATGCATGTACAGAAACTAGGCTAACTTAGCAACTGATACTCCTCGTTATAACTAGGACGTATTTTTAAGCCATGCCAGAGAAAGATAACCTATTTAATGCATTTTCAACCATTTTCTTGTCAAAGTACATAATTTTTTGAGCAAACACTCCTCAGTTTTCTGATTGGTCAGCTGAAGGTCACTCGTGCGTTCGCACTTCTGGGACGCTATTGCTGAACTTTGCCAAGAACATTACTATGACCAAAGTAAGGAAAGGGGTCTGACAAAACGTTTCTGAATACATAATTTAGGTTTTTGTCCTTGGTATAGCTGGAGCTTCGGCTATGAATAGGTGGAGAAAACGTAAGCTTTGGATTTGGTCTTGTAGATAACTTTAAAGGATAAATCACAAGGGCTGAATGATCTGACTCCAGAGGGTGTTCACAGAGATAAGATTTTGCCAGGTTAATGAAGGGTGAGCAAAGGACAAAGTAATAAAGGTCATAGTAATGTTCTTTTACTTTATTCTGTTTTACCACTTGAATTCATTCCACTTCACTTCACCTTCACCGTATTTACTGTTATCGTCATGGCACTGTTAATTTTTTAGACAACACCTGACCTACTATTTTAAAATCCCAACACCAACTCACTCATTTAATAATCTTTAGAAGTATTGTAGTCCATCCACTTCAGCTCTACCCTCTTAGTACATCATTTTAATTATCTTTATATATTGACTGAGCAATTTCTGGTGCCACATAATGCCGTTTACCGTAATATAAATACGACTGTACAGCTTGAAAATGAAGTCGTTGAAAAGAAATGTTTCTTCGCTTAGCAAAACTGTGTTTTTCCTTATGAATTAATGGGTATATTTTACGACATATACAAGTGCCTACACCCTAGTTTGACTTGTCATACATGACGCTATATGCACCTACATTAATTTATTTTCTTATGGTTTCCTTTATTTAATTCTTCGCGTCAGTAAAATATGTCACTTGTTTTCAGAACAATCATAACATCTGATATTCGTGGAATATTTCGTACTACTTTGGATCTGAAATTTTACTGTTAATACCGTCATCTCTTTCCACTTGCCTTGTTTATGCGTACAGTAATTTTATTCTAATTTAATTTATTTCAGCGTGCTGATTTGGCTGTTGGCTCTTTCACAATCACATACGATCGTGAACGCGTGATTGATTTCACAACTCCATTCATGTATTTGGGGATAAGCATTATTTATAAACGTCCTGAAGATAAAGAGTCACATCTCTTTTCTTTTTTGACGCCTCTTTCACCGCCGGTATGTACTATAATTCACCAGTATTTCTGTCTTTTCGAATATCTATTAGCTGTGCTAATGCATCATTTTCCAAAGGGTTATCCATTTTTTTTGTTGAGTAAACTATTTTTACTAACTCTATGTTGCAGTTTGCACGCTACATATTCCAGCAGTTTATTAGTTAAGACTGAAAACTATACTTATATAGAGCTAAACTTTTAATTAAGGATTTCAATTCATTCATTGAATACTATGGCAGCTCATCAACATTTAACGATGCCAATATTCCGCATCTCATCAGCTGAAAAGTGTCAAAATGCCATGAATCTTGGAGTGGAAAAAATTAGAAGGGCATTTATGCATTACATAAGAGAAAGTATGAACCAGTGAATTTTTATCCATGTAAAATGTTTTATTGACTTTAAGATACAGAGTCTAAGATGGTACCTGTATGAGGATTCTGTTATCTTGTTTATTGAACATTTACAAGTCAATTTTAACCCCTGATGTAGTTATCGGTTTGCACCGCTGAAACCTTAGTAAGAAGTTGCCTACAGTGCTCTGTAAACGATTTTGGTTTTGTAGGCAAGTCTGCTTTTAAATCAGTTATTTGCGAATTTAAATTTAATTACAAACACTTATCTAGTGTTAAAATACCAAATTCTGAATTCATTAAACAAGAAACTCCCTTATTTTCCTGACCTTCTGCTTACTGACTGATTGGTTATTTCTTGAATAAAAACAGAAAATATGAAAAAAGTCTTTACGTAATGCTATCTAGTAAACATAAATTGAGTTTGAACTCAGTTTTCAGATGTTTTCCAAAAGTATAATTGTATGAAACAGACTATTTCTTTTCCTTCACGTTCCCCAGTGGAACATAGGGTTTCCAGCTAGTGGCCTGAAGTTTCTGTAGCAGTGCTTATTTTTACAGGATGGGGTTGCTAGCCTCATGCCCAACCTTTCCTCTTTACCAGGATTATTTCTGGCTTAGCGAATTAGAGGAGTGACTCGGCCGTGGATCGAACCCCGGACCATGTGCACGGTCGGCGAGCGTCCTAACCGCTAGGCCACCGGCGCACATGAAACAGACTATAGACAATTTTTTATGTATCTTTTGAAATAAAAATGTCGCCAACAACGAAGGCTGCAGCAACACATTAACCGCTAGCAGTTACAACCTACAACCAGAATTCTTTCTTAAACCTCATCTTTCCCAATATCACTATTCATGTACACAGAATTCGGAATTTTCGTAGGCATATTCCGTGCAGCCACCAATGGCAGCTGTAAATATTTGCCACCAAAGGTGTAGGGAAGTCGAAAGGTAAAATTTCGTTTGACAAATGTTATGACTAATACTTTTAGTTGTTGAAGTGAGTTTCTGCAATCCATGCTAAAGTGTAGCGTTATTTTTTATACTACTATTTCTTTTAATAATTTTAACTAGGTTTGGGGATATATTTTAGCAGCACTTATTATGGTCAGCTTAGTACTATTTGTTGTGGCAAGATTTAGTCCGTATGAATGGAAAGTGAAGCATCCTTGTAATGTGGATTCAGAAGTTGTAGAAAATAATTTCAATGTGTCGAACAGTCTATGGTTTACATTCGGCGCATTGATGCAAAAAGGTCAGTGGACCTTTATTATTAAAAATGATTAAAAAATGTAATAATTTTTTTTTGAAGAAAAGATAATTAATTGACAATTTTCATAATAAAAATACTTATACCGACTTCTAGTTATATTATTATATTATTGTATCCTTTAGTTCCTAGAGGAACATAGGGCTTCAGCTGCGCACCTCCATTACCTTCGGTTTTCTGACAACTTTTTCACCCTGCTCCAAGTCTGTCCACATGCTTTCATCTCCTCCTCGCATGACCTCCTCCAAGTCACCCTTGGACGACCAACTCGCCGCCTCCCTTTCGGGTTCCACTCGAGCAATGGCTTGTCTAGTGATGTCACTTGATGGTTTCCTCAGCGTATGGCCTATTAGGTTCTTTATTAAATATATTCCAAAGTGAAACAGTATCATTCAATGGATGACGTTTCGAAAACAATTTATTTGGTTATAATCATTTCATCAATTATAATCACACAACTTCGAAACTTGAGTTGTATAGTTTTCGTTATGCTTTCCTATTTGACATAGGGGTAGTAGAATTTTTCAAGATGTCTGGGACAGATGTTGAATCATTGCTGTTACACGTGTTTGCAGTTGATTCGATAAATAATGCTTTCGTTATCAATCTCCCTATCTACTCTGTGACATTAGATTTTAAAACTGTTATCTTATTCCATCCTACTGTATGGCTGCGTGTAATTGCATTAAGTGCTACCTACTGTTGAACTATTCTCCAGAATTCTTATCTTATTCGAGTCAACTAATTGAGATTTTGCTAGGTTTTTTTGCTGCTTGGCTAGTCTGAATGCCCCTGTTCTATTACTTTGACCTATGTATTTGTCCTAACAACCACTTCAGGAAATTTGATAAACCAAATTGTTGTATTTAATTGGCTCCACAGGATCCTTTAACCGAACAAGCTTGTTTTTAATTAAGTTTGTCATAAGTTTGAATGTCATTTTTATTCCCGCATTGTTAAGAATTCTCCTTAAGGTCTCGGAGCTTCCTGGAAGTGCTGCTGATGATTTGAACTCCCTGTTATTGGTGTTGTCATTATCCTGTGCATGTTTGGCATGCGTGTCGTCATTAATATTATTACTATCACTATCACAACTATTATTATTAATTTTGTTTTCAAATTTTCTTACATACTTCCTAACTTATTTATCATAGTAATTATTAGGTTTCAAAGCTTCTCCTATAAGCTTCACTTCCTGTCTCAGAATTTCCTTGGTACTGCTTAGGCTTTGTGCTCTATTACTTAAAAATTAGACTAATCCTATTATTACTGACAAAGGATGGGATGATCGAAAATCCAAATATCTTTTTAAATGTTTGGTTTTCCTGTCAACAATAGTGTTTAACTTCCTATCTTCTTTCCATTTTACGCTACAATCTAACATTGGTTGCTCCCCTTCCCTAACTTTCCAATTCATAAGTGAATTCAATTGCCTCCACCTTGGAGTTGATGTGTTCAACAAATTTATTTATTTCGTGTGTTCTAAGAAGGGGAAAAAATTCTACTACCCCTACGTCAAATAGGAAAGCATAACGAAAACTATACAACTCAAGTTTCGAAGTCGTGTGATTATAATTGATAAAATGATTATAACCAAATAAATTGTTTTCGAAACGTCATCCAATAAAATGATGCGTTTGTTATGTACTGATCGAGAATTCAATAGTCCTGACGCAAGAAAGACGGAAATCAGAAGACCACTAGGTTTGCGATGATACTTCTATTTTCCAAAACACCAGGAGAATCAATGTCACACAAGTGTGAGAGCAAAATATAAGAATGTCCGAACAAGTGTGTGAACACAAGTGTGTGAGTGAATATTCAAAATGAAAAAATCAATAGACAGTCTTAACATGATTAGCTAATTATAATGGAATATCGATCCATGTAAACATAGTAAAATATAACAGACTGTCGAACAAACGCACATATTATATGGATATACATCAACGTTTCACTGTGTAATATATCTATTAAACAAAATAACATAGAATTACATACTAACATAGTACCGAAGTTTTACATATATATTAAAACAGCACCTACTTGACGTGTTCATTTTCTTAAGACAGACACATTATGCGTTTGTCTACTACAGTCATCTGAATGAACTACGGTGTCAGTTAAAATCCTTTTCATTTATCTGACTCAAAATGAAATTATGAATTGCACGTGTACAGTAATAATTTACATATGTCCAAACCAAGTTCACTTCTAACACCTGGGAAAAATTTGGGCATTCGGTATATGATATTCACTATTTAGACAAAGCAGTAAGAAGACGTAATTTGTCCGATTTGTGTAATGTATTTGCGCAACACATTGCCAACAATCTGATGACATATGGACTTGTCATAGAATATATATGAAATTAACGAAAAGTCAAAAGGTGAGAAAATAGACTTAGGTCAAGTTAAAAGGACGTCTTGAAGGTCAAAATAACAATGAAGATCACTAAACCAAATAACAGAGGTAATAGTGTAACAACAGAAGACAAGGGCCAGGCAACAGATCGTTTATTAAGGAAATCAACACATATTTATAGATTTTCATGTATATTATTATAGATTATTGTTAGTAGACAAGCACAGTCTTCTGATTGGTTGTTTTCCACTGAAAGTTAATCTTTCATCTCTTCGTGGCTGTTTCTTGAATGTCAGTTCATCTATATGTTAACTGTATCCGCCTACGCAAAGCTTTTGTTCTCATATTTCTCACGACCACTACTGACGCCGTTAACACTGACGTAAATTACTGTCTACCGATTTGGCCAGCAGCCAGCTGTCACCACAATCGTACATCTTCCCTGACTGGTACCAAAACAAAGTTTACTAAGAAAGATAGTTTGAGTGTGATGACAAATTGTTGCTTTGAACGCATATAGGTGGTCTAAGTCCCGTCATTCCCAACTAGGGCTTTCACAAACTTTAGGATACGCCCTCCTCAAAACACGTTTTATAGATAGGTTTAAGAGATGTGTAACGTCAATTTTATGTGTTGTCTCTATAATGTGTTTCGCAATAGAGGAGCTAGGTCTCCTGTTCTCCCCATTAATGGGTTCTGGGGATTCTTTTCGCTTCTCAAGCCATTTAGGAATATGCTCTGAAGCCCTTACTTGGAGAGACCGATGAGTCCTCCCTACATATGTGTCCACACGTACATTCAAATAGGTAAATACAGTGGGATGTGACATCATTTTTCGCAAGTTCAAGGGGCTTAGATGGATTTATTGGCCTAACATTCTCAATTATTATTATATTAGGTGCATAAAAGGTCTCTTTAACGGCAGTGTTTATTCTTTATCTAGTTATCAAGCTGCCATGATCCCCATATAGGGTAGCTTGATGTACACGTCTTTCTTAGGGTCGAGTTGGAGAGTGGGTCTCAATGTTCTGACTACTTTATATCTCTTGATGAACTTGATAATTGTTATCAACGACAGTTTGTGTCAACTTTCTACCTCATCAAGTGTGTCTTCAGTGCATATTCGTTGGATTCTACTCAAGAGGCACCTTACTAAGTCTCTTTTGTACTGAACAAGGCAGAAACTGTGTGAATTAAGATTTTTCCTTTCCAGGTAGGTTTTCTATAAAATATAATAAACGTTTTTTTTGAATTTCCTCATGAAGTAACAAAATCAGCATGAGTGTGATAAACAATTTCATTATATAAACACCTGTTGTTTTTGTAATTTTACACACTTATCAAATCCAATAATCGACACCTGGTTTTGTTATCTTTACCAATTGGCCAATTTGACAACGAAAAATACCCCCATGCTGAGAAACGATAATTCTGTTGTTAGATATAAGCTGAGACTTTGTCAATTCTGGTTTAATAATACTTTGATGAAGCTATTAGTAGCGAAACGTCAGTAAAAACAATATTATTTTGTTTTCCATTCATTGGGAAATGCAACTAGATTCGAGGATTAGTAGAAAGATTTTAACGTATATTCGGTTGGAACAATGTGTGAACGGAGAGTACAAAGAGCACTTTGCCTTCTTCCTAACTCATATCACAACCAAACGAGACGTAAGCACAAAAGGGACCCTAATTGCTAAGTTCATTCACTAGCTTATGTGAGGTTTTTTTCTTCAAATTCATGATTCTTTAAAAACTTATGGCTATTTGCAATTACAGATTACTGTAGAATTTCATAACCCTTTAATTCCATTTGTGACTTGATTACGGTTAGTTAACATAAATACGCCTGAATATGTCGCTTACAAATGTGGTTTACATATTATAAATATTCTACGAACTTTTAGTATTATAGTACTACTAGAACCAATAAGAAGACAAGTTTCCTACCATACAGTTCGAGATTCATTCGACTTTATCGACTCAATCGAAAACAACAACGTATCCAACAAGACCATGATTTCATTAGATATCACATCACTATTCACAAACGTTCCACTGACTGAAACAATATGCTATATATGCGAACTTATTCACTCCAAAGAAATCAACATTGGTACACCCTTCGAGCCTCTTAAAGAACTACTTCTGAGGTGTACCCTGAATGTTCAATTCTCTTTCAACAATCAAATATATCGCCAAAAGGATTGTATAACTATGGGCTCACCATTGGGCCCATTGCTTGCAGATTTCTTCATGGCAAAACTCGAAAACACATGCCTGAAGAAAATGATCGATACCTTCGAAATCTATAAGAGATACGTCGACGACACTTTCATCATTGTCAACAATGAGGAAAATCTAGACGACATCTTGAAGTCGTTTAACAACTGCCACCCCGCGTTTCAGATCATGCTGGAGAAAGTGGTTAGCTCCCAAATATACTTTCTTGACGTCCATATAACAAGACGAGAACAGGATGGAACAGTGAAAAGATCTATCGACAGAAAGTCGACGTGGAATGAACAGCTTACTAACTTTCATAGTTGGGTTCCTCTATACACCAAACGAAACCTGATCCGTTCATTCAGCTACAGAGTTCGCAGAATTTGTACCCTGGACACCACAGAAGATGAATTGGGCAATCTCAAGAGAATCCTCGTCGAGAATTGTTATCCAGAAAGATTTATTGCAAAATCTATGAATCCTATACCACAAAAGCCGCCCATGCTTAGCGTCCCGAAAAAGCTACCCTACATGGACCTTCAATTCAATGGAGATATATCTGCGGAAACACTAAAAAATCGACTGTCGCGCTCACTTAAGAAGACCTTCTTCGCAGCTGAACTACGACTAACTTTCTCCACAAAACTTATGATTCATGTGAACGTGAAGGATAAACTACCACTGCTGGCCTCATCAATGTGTATTTATCAGTTCACCTGCTCGTGTGGAGCCAGGTATGTCGGCCCTACCCAGCGTTCGCTTTCCAAACGTATCACCGAACACTAACCAACATGGTTTTATAAAGGGGAAAAACGATGTCCTCGCAACTCCATCTTAGAATATCTGATACAATCCGGACACAAAGCTACACCCCAAACAAACTTTAAAGTTGTCTACAGAGTAAGAAGTAGTCTTCCTAAAGGTGTACGAATCAGACTTGTTCAAATTGTAGAAGCAATGGCGATTCACTTGCTAAGTCCTGAACTCTGTATACAGAAGAAGTTAGTTCATTCACTGCACTTACTACACTTATTACCTGACAAGTAAATTCTACCTAATCTCTTTTTCTGTCTCTTCATTAGCACTATTTTGTCTTCTCAACTGTAATATTTTACATTTTCAACTTTCTTGTTCCCTACCCCTACTCTATTTAATTTCTACACCTCACTACCACTCTTACTGAGTTGACCAACGCTCAATTTCTAGTCATTTATTTTACGTCATCCAGCTTATTTGCTCATTTTCAGTTCTAATTTAAATGGCATTATTCTCTACTCCATTTTTACTTAGTCTCTACCTGTAATTACCTCAGTTGCTACCCTGATCTAAGTTGAAACATTCTAGTCAATTATATTACTTCATCTAACTTACTAACTCAATCTTACTTTAGTTACTGTCTGATTAACCTTGTTTCTATATTAGATCATTCTTTCATTAGTCAGTGTGTAGTCAGTAGTCACTGTGCACACGCTTATTGTTTTACATTCTTTTATTAGCTAACCAGTTATCTAGACTTTACAAACCTAATGTACACACACACACAAATAATTATATATAAATGCGGTTGTACAGCTATGTGAATGAATTCACCGAAAAGAGTCTCTTCGCTGAACATCTTCTCTTTAGTATTAAACATTAATTTACCTTATATAAGCTTTCCATATTCATTAAACTTTATATAGTTCGTTTCTGTTCATAATGAGGAGTTCGAAATTTTGTTTTCATTTAACTGATATCTAAAACTAGTCTTTTAAATCAACTCTCACTTCTGGTACTATTTCTTTATTTAAATAAATCACCATGGATCACAAAGTAAAAGTAATGTCAGAAGTACGTTTTTTTAACATAATCGCTTACCATTTCATGTCGTGGTACTTTAAATAAGTCACATAGCTTAGTTTTAAGATTTTGATTTTAGTCAGTAGGTGTCAGTTACCACTTTGATGCTGGTTAACTTAACACTACACTATTATTTTTCATTGAAAAACTGAAAGGGATTGTTTCACTGTTTCTCTTGATATCCTTTTATGTATGACTACAGGCTCAGATATTTTACCGCATGCTACATCAACTCGTATTATTGCTGGATTTTGGTGGTTTTTTACGCTCATTGTCATCTCATCATATACAGCTAATTTGGCTGCTTTTCTGACGGTTGCACGAATGGTTGCACCAATTGAAAATGCTGAAGATTTAGCAAAACAAACAAAAATTAAATATGGTTCTATACAAGGCGGTTCGACTACGGCATTTTTTGAGGTCAGTTTTATTCAGATTTGTAAGAATATTAAGTCTGAAAATGAGTCAGTATGTTTATATGTAAATTAGAAGTTACTCTAGAATTTTCTTGAGAATGTTTCACAAAATTATTAATAAAATGCAAAAGCGAGTCTTAGTATTGAGAAAAATACATTGAGAATCAAGTATTTGTTTTGATCTATTGGTCATTTATGGGCATATTTATTTCAGCTTCTGAAGCTTATTGTTAATGTACTCGTCACTATATGTCATGAGATTTATTTTGTTTTAACTAAAAGACTATCTGTAATTTGTCTTAATACTTTATATCATCTAAATGATATCTTTTAATTATGAAAACTGCTATAGCATCATGTAGCAATGAGGGTGATTATTTTTTCATCACTTTTTTTTAAATATAGTTCTTTCCTATCCTATAAAATATTTAAATGAAGTGGATTCAAATTTTAGACCTGTTACAAGAAAGTCAAGTACATAAGCTTATGAACTGTCGGTCTACAGGGAATTCAGTGGATCCAGAATCAGCTGGCAAGAAGACCTTGGGAACTCATCAGAATGTTCTATTTGTTCAATGGCCTTAATTTGAAACATCTTACAAGACGTTGTACAGTTTGTTTTCAGTAGGAATAACTACAAAATCGACTGTGAATTAAAGAAGACAGTAGACGAAAAGTTAGTGACTATAAGTCTGAAGAATCTGACAACTTTTTCTTGCATGACTGCCTTATAGGTAATATAATTATTGGCCTTAGTGTGACACAGTACTCACGCGATAAATTGAATATAATGTGTAGATAAGGTTTGCTTGAAATTACTTAAAGAACTAATTTAAATATCTTATTTGAAGGCATAATCTTCAAGTTTATGATACTGTCCGAAGAAAATGGAGTTCAAAAGTTTGAAGATAAATAGTTTTCATTGGTAGCAGTTATAGCTTCATGAGTTCGCGAATTGCAATATCTCATTAAAATATTTTACCAATACTAAGTTTCGTTTTTAGTTTTCTGGAAGTCTCGTCTGATTATCCATAAACCAGTTTCATTTTTTAGAAATCGCCTCAACTGCTTATTGTTTACAATACATTATTGGATAGCAAATAACCCACTCCTTACCGCCCGAAACTAACGTTAATTGAAATAATTTCTTGCTTGGACTGAACAGTTTATACGTTGGTGTCATTACATCAAAATTTTTAAAATTTTAACTAAGTTAACAGGTTACCTATTTTAGATTCATTCGTGAAAATTCAAACTCATGAATCACTAGTTTCTGGTTAACGGTTCAGCTAAGTAATTCATTTTAATTTGACGGGAATAATTTAACACGTGTCTATTAGTTTTCTGTTTACCAAATTTTCTTCTCCTATTTTGTAGAATTTGTCCTTTGTTTTAATCTGTAGGAATCGAATTTTTCCACGTATAAACGTATGTGGCAGTTTATGAGTTCACAGAAAGGATTATTAATGAATAATACACTAGAGGCAATACAGCGCGTTAAAAGGGAGGAGTATGCCTTTCTACTTGAATCAACAATGAATGAATATTATACTCAACGTGATTGTGAATTAATGCAAGTCGGTGGATTGTTAGACTCAAAAGGTTATGGCATTGGATTACCAGAAGGTGAGAAGTTTGTTTCAATAGTAAGATTTACTCAACAATGACTAATTATAATTAACAATCAATTGAAGACTATATTATCTTGCTTTTTCCAATCACTAAGCAGCACAAATATTAAAATAATGAAATATCTCATTAAAAGTGTTTAGTGACTTATCAGTTAAAAGATTTTGGCAAGATTTCTTGAGTAGTTGACATCTGGTTACAAATGAAAACAAACTCCTACCTGTATAGTATCATTTTGCTTGTTCGGGATTAAAAATAACTGTTTTCATTAGGCAACTACTGCAAAGCCTACTGAGAATATTGATTAAGCGCACAAAATAAAGCATCTTCCATTTTTAGGAGATGAAAATCCTTAACTTAGATCTGTCGTTTTCAACACAGTTGGCTAGTTCATTTTAATACTGAACAATTACTTCTCATGTTTTATTAGCTGCATTCAGAATGAATCAGTTAAACTTTTTATGGCAGTTTAACAACTCTGAGGAAGATGATTTGTGTTAAGAAAGGAAATAAAGTCCAGACATTCCAACGAAAGTGACAGAATGCTTTTAATTAAACTTCCTTCAAATTATCTTGATATTTGTACAGTTGATTGTCTTGTTCTTTCTCCCCTTACGTTCGTAAATGACTTCTTTGATCTGCATATTCCTTTTATTAATATCGTTGTGGCAAACGATTGTGGAGCATCAGATATCTCTTTCTCCAACTCTGCACACTTTCAGTTCATTGATTCTTGCTAAAAATTTCCATTAAACCTGGATGGTGAATTTACTGTCAAGATTTAAGGATCATTATAGGGTGTGACTCATCTTTGCCGGGGTAGAATCTCACCTTACAAATGATTTAAACAAACACAGTTTTAGATTTTGCTCTTACCATTTAGTATTTTATCCTTCGATCTATCGACAATTAGACACTACACAGAGGTAGAACAAAAATAATTCAAATTTTTATAAATACATCATATTTTTAAAATGCAGAATATATGACTGATAGTAGAAACTGCAGTTACCAACTTCCGAATAAAAGCTATGTTGAAGGATTTGATAACTTTTTCTATTACAGACACATGACACTTAATATCATACATTTTCTCCTTTAAGATTCCGTTATCATCAGTCCGATATCTGACGGATACTAAGATTATGTTATGCAAATTAAAAAAATAACTTTATTGTGCCAGAAATTTGCGTTTTCTTTATTACTGCAGAAATACATTTTCACCTACTTTTCTGTTAGGATCGAAATATAGAGATCCAATTTCTGAGGCCATACTGAAATTACAAAAATCTCAAATGTTAGAAAAATTGAAATTTTATTGGTGGAGAGAGCACGACATTGAAAAGCCATGTGATACATCACCAACTAAAAGTTCAGATGCCAATTCACTAGGTGTTGAAAAAGTTGGTGGTTGCTTCGTCATGCTGTTAATCGGTATGGCTGTTTCCTTACTTGTCGGCTTACTTGAATTTGTATGTAATGCATATCGTCGTGTAGCCAATAAAAAGGTTAGTTTTACTTGATCATTATTCTTTTTTCTCTATCCATTAAAGGCGTATCTGAAGGTACTATATATATATATATATATATATATATATATATATATATATATATATATATATATATATATATAAACCCTGACTACAACCTCAGTCTTTATCGCCCACTTGTTTGGCTAGACATCATTAGGAAAGTTACAATACTTGTCATAAATCTCCAGCATTTCTTCTGAATACTGTTATTTGGGCGTATTTATGAAAAGGAGATGTACACCTTATAGGATTTTAAACTATTATCATTCAAGGATAGCAAGTCAACCGGCATCTCAAACAATAGATTTCGTTTAACTTTTCTATTTGCTGCAGGTAATCAGATGTGTTTAATGGGTTACTAACTCACCTGAGGTTGTTTGGTGAACACAGATGTAATCACAAGAATTGTTTCTCATTGTGACAAGACTACTTAAATAACAAGAAACACTTAGTGCCACTATCAGGTGTGTTGCTACTCGTTATAACAAAGCTTCCTACTGACTTAATTCGCTTAACATCTAAAATATGAACTAAAGTTAGTTGCAAATTTAAAATATCGTGTCACTTAAGTTCGTAATAACATGTACTAGATTGAGGTCAACACATATATAACTAAGCGAGTACATTGGTTACCATCTGGTGACCAATGAGTCAAGATTACACGGCCTATCTAACGTTTGTAAATTTTGGGCTTGGTTAAGAACTCGAGTTGACCTACCTGACAAGTATTTTCAGCATATCTTATCCCCACAACTAGATGTTCACCTACCCAATAAAACAGATAAATCGTTGCAATTACTTCTGTTTTAACACAAGTCCTGCTAATAGCATTTGTAGTGATGAAAAATTGTAAGTAGTATACTTAATCAAGCAGTTTATAAGTGATTAGCAGCGTTTTGCACCATAGTCCTTAGTCACATATGTTGAATTCGATTTGAAAGCTGCTAATAACCAGGGCGGTATTATTATTATTGTTAATATTCACTTCGGTTCCTAGTGGAACATAGGGCTTCAACTGCACGTCTCCACTTCCTCTTGTCTTCTGCTGTACTTTTCACCTGCATCCATGTTAGTCCATACTCTTTCAACTCCTCTTCACACGATATCCTCCGTGTCACCCTTGCACTGACGTCCCACTCGCCGCGTGCTTCCCTTTCGGGTTCCACTCGAGCAATGGCTTGACACGCTCGCGATGTCACCCAGCGGTCTCCTTAGCAAGTGTCCGATCCATCTCCACTTTCTCCTGCATATTTGTTGGGCGATTGGTTCTTGTTTTGTTCGCTCCCGTAGTTTCTTGTTGGTGATTCTTTCCGGCCATCTGATCTTCAGTGTAGAGAGAAGGCAGTTGTTGGTAAAGGTCTGCAACAGGCTGTTGGAAATATTCTTTGTGACCCGCCCGCCAAGTCTCTGATCCGTATAGAAGAAGTGACTTGACGTTTGCATTGAAAATCCTACCGAATTTTGTTGGTGATGCTGAGTGATGAAGATTTCTAGATTGGTTTTAGGTTGATGAATGTGTTTCTCGCCTTCCCGATTCTCGCTCCATTCGACTTCCTCGTCCGTTCCTCCTGTAGTTGAGGCAATGCTCCCTAGATAACCAGGGTGGTAAACATACATAAACAGTTTTTTTTAATTTTCAGTCAATCTCACTAAGAACATAAATGTTTATAAAGTTAATTTGTGTTTCAGATCACTAATCTGCTTTAAAACATTTGTGGGTTTACTATTTTTTCCGACTAATTCTGTCATTGTTTTGTCACTTTTTCAACTCAATATAAACAGCACAGTTTACATGAAGAAATTGCTCGTGATTTCCGTTTCTCAATGGCTTGTTCCAGTGTTCGCAGTCAGTCGGCTGAAGATGCTACAAATTTACCTCCTCCACCATCTCTTAGTTGTTTATCAAGTGACGGAGAACAGAAAAGATCCTTTTCCGCCTCTTTAGCATATGCACCTTGTTTACCTGCTCCTGTTCCAGTAATGAACGAGAATCATGTCGATAAAGAATTAATGCGAACTAACTTTTCACAGTCATCTCGTGTTTTGTCAGCGGATTCAAAAAATACTGCAATAATAGCCGACAGTGAACAGAAAGCTTCACCATCTCTGGTGAACACACGAGCACAAGGATATGAGTGTCGTAAGCATTATTTATACTTGCACATTTTTTTCAAAATAGGTGACTATTTCTAGACGAATACATAGGTTTTAACATTAAAATATCCTTAGGCTTAAGTAATCATCGTTACGGTTGATGAAATCATGTAACAGATTTTCTTTATTACTCATCGTCTTAATTATTGTGTTGTTTTAAGTGCACATCAATAATCAACTCCGTCTTCATTAAAATGAAACTACTAATTAAATATAAAATTAATATTCTCAGTCAATTCGTTGAAATAAATAAATGCAACTAAGTTTCAGGAGATTGTTAATTTTACTATTGTCTTTTCAAAGCTTTAGTATTTATGCAATGACTAATTCTTTTACGGATAACAAATTCAGTGGTTTATAATTCGTCGCTAAAACTGCTACTTAAAGGTAATAAATAACCAGTTAGCAGATCATTTGATCAATTTTGTACATATTACGGACTGATGCTAGTAAGCGGAGACCACAGACGTCAACCACTAGTGTTTGCCAGCCAGATGGAGGTGATATAAACACTGGGCAAGCTCAGAATGACTCAATTCAGAGATCCAAATCAATAGCAACCAGCCAGCCACTTGGTAATATACAGAAATAAACCAATCCTATCTGACGTGAGTAGTTCCCACCTATTTATATTAATCCTATATACCATCTTGCCATATCGTTTGTTTTCTTCATTACTTTTACGATTTAGAGAGGACCACATATTTTGTCTAGATTATTTCTGTTTTCCAAGAGAAACTGTAGTAAGATTCCACGTTGAACTGTGTATTCAACAGATATTTTTATTTTAATGAAATGATCATCGCTTTCTGAGTTATCCCAGTACTTTTTACTATGGTATATGTTCGCAATTAAATGAGGGAATGTTTAAATAGACATGAATATCCAAAAATTTAATGACAAGTACTGACCCGAATTAAAGTACCCGGATTGAAGTGAAATATGTGTGTATTGATTTGTTTAGTGTTGTTCCTAAGTTGACAACAGTTTGGATTTGGAACTGTATCCAAACTATAAAATTTCTCTCTACCCAACGCAAAAAATAAAACTAGGTATTCATAATATCTGTCAGGTAACTCAGTGGTTCTATTTAGTTTATATATGTAAATGTTTTGTTCTGCAGTTCTCTTGAGACACTCCAAGTTTCATTATTTAAGCACTCATTTAGGTATAATACAAATTTAACCGGCAAAACTGTGAAAAATAACGGTAGTTTGACAGCACTGACTTTTGTTTGATAATGTATTCGTCTGAGACTTTGAAGCGAAACATTTAGAAAAGCTCCTAATTGAATCATAAGTTTAAAGAATTTAATTTGGCCGAACTCATTTGCATTCGGATAGCGTTATTAGAAGATGGAGATTACCTGAAAAATGTGATGTATTTGTGGTATACATTTCAAACAATCTGATCACACATTTACTTGTCAAGTTGATATATGTTAAAAAAATTAGGGGAAATTAAATTAAAGAGTGAAAAAAATGATTTTTTTCCTTCACGTTCCCCAGTGGAACATAAGGCTTCAAACTAGTGGCTTGAAGTTTCTGTAGCAGTACTTTTTTTTTACAGGATGGGGTTGCTAGCCTCATGCCCAACCTTTCCTCTTTACCAGGATTATTTTTGGCCTAGCGAGTTAGAGGAGTGAGTCGGCCGTGGATCGAAACTCGGACCATGTGCATGGTCAGCGAGCGTCCTAACCATTATGCCACCGACGCATTTAAAATTGATTAACACAACGTTTGGTAATCCAATCAAATAAGGACTACCAAGGTAGGCTAAGAGTAATAATAAACTGTTTTTGAATGTGCAGGGAGGGGGGCTTAAGTTTACGAACAGTTACAGCCTCAGAGTATTTCAATAAGCGCCCTTGACCATGCTTTGTAGATGACCTTAAAGGCTGAGTTAACATCAATCCTATGGTTTATCTAGATTAGACGTTTAGCTTTAGACGAACGTTATCCAAATTTATACAAAGGACTAAGTGTTTTAAATTTCATTAGTATTCATTCAGTTTTTATCGTTGTGAATGTTTAATGGCATGTGTAAGTTGTTTTGGCGAAAATTTTCAATTTATTTAAGGTTTGCTTACTGCCGAAGAATGTCCCGAATTTTGTTCCAATTGCTATCTTACATCAAATGATCACATTTTTTCTGTATTTCGGACATGTCTTTATCTTCATTTTACCTTTATACTTTATTCTTCTTTCTTTGCATATTTTTGTAAAGTGTCAGTTTATTTTTAATTTCTAGAAGTCGAACAATTTCCAAACACTTACTCAGAAACAGGTCTTGTAGAACAAAATACTCTGGATGAAATTGATGTAGGTCGTGACCGGCCACACTTTGGCTATCTGAACCCTAATGATGCTGATTATGCTCGTCGTCAACCTATAATGAATCCTTCTTATCTAGCCGAACAAATAAGCTCATTTGAAAGAGAACCTGGAGAGGAATGGCGTGTTGGTCCAGCACCAGCATTTTCGGGGACACCACCAGAAATTGGTTTTCGTCTTGGGCATACTACTCTTCATGGTGGTTCAGTTGAACAGGACTCAAAAACATCAGATAACTGGTCTGGACCTGGGAAATTGCTTACCGGTAGCCAGCATGATGTTCAACTGAAAAAGGTATCATGTTAAATTCAAATATGAATATATTTTAACCGAGTTAAACAGTTCATAACAACGTATCAATTGACACATATTTCATATTCAGTGAGAAACAGCAAATAACCAAAAATAATCTAATTCTTTACCTCACAAATCATAATAATAAAACAATTTATAATAATGCGTAACACAACTAGATAATTACTTCTTATAGTAAGTAATACATTACTTTCATGCTTAGGCAAAAGAAGTTTCGGATATCGCTGGAAAGATTTTACTGTTTAATATATATGATAATATTTATGATAAATGTCTGGTCAACAACTTATTGTTCAGTATTCTTTTCATCATTGCCTTGAATAATTGCATCAACATAATATTCAAGTAACCGTGAAGAAGCAGCATATTTGCCGATTGTACTGTGCCAACAGTAAAAATATTCAGTGAGTCCTTTTCGTATACGTACCAGTTATAATGGTGAAGGGTAATATTATTCCTATTAATATGTTTAACAATACTATCAGCTACAATGACAGAAATAATATTTCAATGTAAATCTACCACTTAACATGTGGAGTTAAAAAACAATAAAAAAAATCACAACACAAAGATAAACAGAAAGACGACACATTATGATCTATTAAAAGCTACAGACTTAAATCATGTAAACTCTGCTTTAAAAAAATATATATATACTTTTTAAGTAAATGTCTTCCTTACTCTTTGCTTATAAACACTACTCACCTTTATTACTCCTCGAGAACGTGATATGAATTACAACAGGAACCGGAATAGTTTCTCTCTTTCTAGGGAACTAATAGAGTTACACGTTCCGAGAGAAGTGAATTAAGACTATCATTTCCTCAGTTTAATATAGTAAATCCCAGTTAAAACCTAACGGCAGATGTTTTCTCAAACTAAGGCAGTATTCAAAGCTACTCAGTCACTATTTGTCAGAGGATAAACGTTATCACCTACTATTCCTCTGATCATCCATGTTCTAGTTCATTTCATTTAGAGATGAACCTGTATCTAAAACAAAGACTTTTTGTGGAGTCTATCCTGAATGAAATTGACATGAATAATGAAGGAAGAATATTTAGAATACTTAAAAGTTATGTGCACTTTCGTATATACTATGACACACTTTTAAAGACTTTGTATTAATAAACTTGACTACACGAATTAAGAAACGAAATATATGATGAAAGCAAACGGTTCATAAGAGCAATTTGGAAATCTAAACCCATTACAAATCGCCTTTACTAAACGCAGTTTGTTCATATCGGAAGATATCTATTAAAACAAGTGATTTTGTGCGTACTGATATTTTGATACATTTATTCTCTAGTGAAATCACAAGCCTAAAATTTTCAAATTAATCGTGAAGAAATGAACAAGCACTGTGAGAAAAATTTCGCGCCATTATATTTTACTACTTCAAATATAAGCGGGAATTTCATTATTTACATTAAAGATGTGAATGCAGTTATCAGTAAATTTTCTTCAGGCGAAATTTTCCAGTAGTGGTTATGTAACTCTTTTCGTTCTTCAGTGATGAGTCTTCCAGCAGCGTTAGTTGCAGACCAGCTTAAACAAAAGCGAAATGATATCCTCTGGAATCACAAAAAATCTGTATCTGACATTGAAGGCGAAAGAAATGTAAAAGATAACCATAATAAATAAGAACTGTGAACTACTTGGGCTTACTAGGGAAATAGAACCTTACATCTTATAGGGGAAATAAACTACGAGAAGAGTAGAAATTCAGTATACCAGGAAAGACAGCTAGAAATTCGCAGAGGTCATTTTCCTGAGGAGTTAAACTGCATTACAAAAACCCACAGTATAACCGCAACTTTAATGGGATAAAAACATTACACCCTCATATATAGCTGAGGTTACAAAAGAGGTATTTTGCTATACGGCCTGACATTTTGGTTGCAGAGATGATTTAGGATGGTGGTGTCGGTACTTACCATTTGGCATGTGTCCTGACGACAGAGCGGAATTCGATGCAATTAAATCATGCGGTCATGTGAAAGCTCATTAACAGTTATTAATTTAATATCTGCTGGAAGCAAAGAAAACCATGCCCAGTTACCTAAGCGCTAGTTTTCTAACCGGTAAGAAGTCCGGTTTAAGAAGGGGAATCAGGCGAAGAACTAGCGCATCTGCACCACAAAAGATAACAAAATGCTAGAGCAGATTCAAAGCAGAGGAAATATACTAAAAATAAAAAATTCAAATAACAATCTAATTGACAGAAGGAAAACGTTTCGAAAATTTTAATTTGATGAAATCACACTGTTATACAGTAATATTTCCTGGTGACCACGTTTCGAGCACAAATTATTGCACATAATCATATCAAGGCACTCACACACACACGCACAACGTCCTGGCTTCATTTGTATACGTGAGTAAAAATTGATTAGACATTTGAATAAAATCAATACAAGATAAAGTACATTCGGAAATAATATAAGACGCAATAAGAAGACGTAATTTTTCTGAATCGTATAATACACTTGCGCGACGCATTTCGAACAATTTGATCACACACGGACTTGTCATAGGAATGAATGTGTATGAAATTACCAACGAGTTAAAGGGTGAGAAAATAGATCTAGGTCAAGTTAAAAGGACATATTGAGAGTGAAAATAACAATGGGTCCAGGACATAGATTCCCCAGAACCCACTAATGGGGAGAACAGGAGACCTAGCTCCTCTGTTGCGAAACACATTATAGAGACAACACATAAAATTGACGTTACACATCTCTTAAACCTATCTATAAAACGTGTTTGGAGGAGGGCGTATTCTAAAGTTTGTGAAGGCCCTAGTTGGCAATGAAGGGACTTAGACCACCTATATGCGTTCAAAGCAACAATTCGTCATCACACTCAAACTACATTTCTTGGTAAACTTTGCTTTGGTACCAGTCAGGGCAGATGTACTGTTACCTCTCTTATTTGGTTCAGTGATCTTCATTGTTATCTTGACCTTCAGTATGTCCTTTTAACTTGATCTAAGTCTATTTTCTCACCTTTTGACTGTTCATTAATTTCATATATATTCTATGACAAGTCCGTATGTGATCAGATTGTTGGAAATGTGTTGCGCCAATACACTACACGTAACAGGCAAATATTAGTGTAATCAATCAAAAACAATCAGATGGGAAATAAGATGTTTTTATAGTAACTTGTTGGAATGTTATGATGTCAATTGAATACATTCTAACATTATTTATTATCCGCTGATTTAACTGGTGGTAATAGTCTCTTCCATATCTCTGGCGTTTGCTTTAAGTCATTTCTAATGCATGTGTTGATGAACCAGGATTCAGTGATCAATCTATCTCCCTCTCTATCTCTCCAATTACCTATACCCCCTTTTAGAATCTTAACCATCTCCCACCCTATTGTGTAGTTGTGTGTTGAGCTGAGCTTTTTTCTAAATTACTTACCTTCGTGAGATCAATCATTCTGACCCTAGCCAAATTCATGTGTTCTGGTAATCTCACTACTCCTGATCTACTAGTTTGACCTATGTAGTTGGCCTAACTCACAGTCATTGCGAGGCATTTTGTAAAGTGTATGATTTTATTTGATTGGGTCCACTGGGTCTTTCAGCCTACAGAGCTTGTCTCTGAGTGGGTTCGTAGGTTTGAATGTCACCCTAGTTCCTGTTTTATTGGGAGTCCCACATAGGGTCTCAGATGTTCCCTCCTTATGTGGTACAGCTTCAGACGCCTTATGTTCTTGCTTATTCATGTTACCATTATTAGTTTCACCACTATTTTTATTCTGCTTTTGACCTTTTTGATATTCCTAATGAATTTAATAGCATAGTTATTCAGCACAATTCAATTCACATTATACCATTCCAACAGGTTACTTATTTCTGCTATAAACACATCTTATTTCCCATCTTATTGTATTTCATTGATAACATTAATATTAGTTCCGAATCTACTTTATCTTATATTGATTTTATTCAAATGTCTAATCAATTTTTACTCACGTATACAAATGAAGCCAGGACGTTGTGTGTGTGTGTGTGTGTGTGTGTGTGAGTGCCTTGATATGATTGTGAGCAATAATTTGTGCTCGAAACGTGGTCACCAGGAAATATTACTGTATAACAGTGTGATTTTATCAAAATGAAATTTTATCCATAATGGAGTTACGAAAAAGAAAAGCTAGAATTCTGAGAGAGCAGATAGAATGGAAACGGACTCAACCGATAATTGAGTGAAGAGTCAGTAGTCTACTCGGGTCACTCAGATGACAACCACGAGTGCCCTGAGGCAGAGCCTAGCAACGAAATTAGTGAGATTGGACACCTCTTCGCAGACGTCGACCCCTCCAATGATTTGGTGATTGGTGGTAGCCTATATGAGCAAAAGGACTTCGGTAAACTCCTGAGAAGTTCGTCCCGCCACTCAAATGTCGTACTTTGGTTGACTCCCAAAGGAGTGGTGCTAGAATTAATTGTATGTTTTAAGACGGTGTTGTTACTGTGAGTGGAGTTGACGCCTTCACCAATTAGTCGTCCGGTGTCATGGACATAAGAAAAGAGATAATAATATTACTGTTTAACCCTATGTTATTTTAACAATCTTATTCTTCTTCGCTGAAATCGGAGAGGCGAAATTGCACAGCAGGCTGGTGAAAACTGGCCATAAGGAAGAGAGTCAGCGAACCAATATGTCTTTTCTCGGTGAAAGCGTGAATAAGAATGGGGACGTGGGATGTCCGTACAATCTAAGAGAATGGATGGAGAGGCTGACCATTTGGCCAATTAATTGTGAAGATACGGCATAGAAGAGCAGATGGAATGGATGTGGACTTTCAAAATTATCAACTGAAGAGTTAGTAAACTACTGCAGTCACCCAGATGGCAGTCACGGTCACACGGAGGCAGTGGGTGGATTGCATGAAATCACCAGTGGCAGCAAGGGCTTTAATGCGGCGGGAACAAATCCCATCCAAGATCGTGACAGTGGAATTCAACTCAAAAG